CGGCTACATGTAGCACTCATTATCCGTAGGTTTGCTGCAGCGCACAGCAATCACGTTCCGTACAGCTGCTTAGCTGCAGCGCACAGCACTCACGTTCCGTACAGCTTCTGCAGCGCACAACACTCACGTTCCGTACAGCTGCTGCAGCGCACAGCACTCACGTTTCCTTTATATTTAATTTCGTAACGCGGCCTCTCATCAATGCGTTGTCACGCTCGCCCCGCACGTCTGCTTCGGTCTGTACGTCTCCAATCATCGGGCTTCTTTCAACTAACTCGCTCGCGTAAAGTGTGCATATTGCTCTCGGTTTGCTCATGGCTTTCCATTCTCAAGTATTGCTTTGCTGGTCCCAAGTTCTGGACGTGTTCGCTTGTTTGCCCTTGCTGTGGAATTTTTTTTTTTTCAGAATCTTGCTCAGATAGTTTGGCATTTTCAACGTTACCAAGCTAGACGTAATGCTGGAAGAGTCTTTCATTTTTTTGTGATCCCTTATTGCCTGAATAAATGTTTCCTTGCTAGTATTCGTGCTAGTACAGTTCGCCTGCCCGAACTTGTCTCTTGACGGCAACATCTGACAACACTCATATATAAGAGCCTGAATTGTGCCGCCTGCAATACTGCCTAATGTCACTCCCATTGACGCACTCCAGGTCCTCTGAAATATTGAGATATAGTATCAGTTCGTCAATTTTCGGCCATTTTCCTGGTGTCGTGAATTTCAGCTGGAAACGCGAGATGGTGATAAAGAACTGAGTGCTTGAATATAAATCCCGTACTTGACAGTCCTGAGTAAGTCAGGTCACAACTTGACTGTCCTATGATATTCCGGCTCGCCGACATGACTGTCGCCAAGTGCTGTATCCGCTGAGCAGCTCACCCTATTGAAAATCTTGGTATAAAAACGGGCGAACATTGGGTGGCCATAAGGTGGTCGCTTGATTTTTAACTGGGTACTAGACTGCGACTTGTTCGAGATGTACTGCGTGTTGCTGTGCGCAGTGAGTACTGCTGTGTCCACTGAGTTGTGCTGTGCACAGTGAGTGTTGCTGTGTGTGTTTAGTGAGTTTTGTCGGCCGTACATTGTGCATTCCAGTCCATAGTTATTGCTATTGTTTGTTTACAAATTTTTGTGCGGAGTTACTTTTTGATTCAATTCCGGTTTGATCTACTCCCCTTCTAAGCTAATCTTAGAGTATTTAATCTACCTTATTCTCGCTTGGGCTAAAATTTTACTAGGAATGACCTACTCTGAGTACATGTTAATGTTTCATAGTTTGTAGGGGTCGGATATACGAGTTTATCCGTCTGCTGTCCGAAGCTTTGTAATCGCCTGCCATTTATTCCTGCGTGCGGCGTTCGCGTAAAAGTTGCGACGAGCAAATCATTGCGCAAGGCGCTACGTTCACCTGCCGGCAATGGAGAGCTTGTGTGTTCTGGTGCAGTTATCACTTGAGTTCGATCACCATCGTGTGCGATGATTGTTCGTATCGCACAGAAAACTGTTAAGGATCACGCTGCCATTTCTCTCCCGTTTAGCCTTCCTGCTCACTGAGGTGGCGCGGATTTCCTGAACTGTTAGAGAAGAAAGTGAGATGCTGAGACCACCTGCGTGAGTCCCGCTGCCTCCGTCTCCATCAACATAATATCTTTATGTTGTTGTATTATTATTCAATAGTATATTTTTGCTTGAAAGATTTATATTCGCCTTCACGTCTCACATTTTTGATGCTTTCTTGCATTATTATCAAGAGAATGTGCCAGAAGTAGTCGTTCTAGTAAAACACGCATTTATTCAGTTTTCTGAATGAATATCAAGGTAGAATGCTGTATATAATAGTATAATGTAAACAAAGCTCATTCTTCACACCTGAAGTGTTTGATACCTGTAGTCTGCACTCTATTGTAAATTAAATGCTTTTGTATTGCTGCTGCCTACTCTGCACACTACAGGTGTGCAGAGTAGGCATGATTCTTCTTCTCTGCAGTCGAGTTGGTTGGTGTTGCTCATACCTGTTGTATCTTGACTGAAGCTTCAGTTTTGACATTAATTTGTACTATGTTCAGCTTGCATCGTTTGGCCCGCTTCTGCAGTACAAATAAGCTAGGGCTGCGTCAGAAACTCGCGTATCCTGCGTATTAGCATGTATTTATTCCATTTACCCTGGGAATAAACAGTTTGTCGCTAGCGACTGTCAATAATTTGCAACAAGTCCTGTATATTTATTGTGCAGGTGATCAGAGGCTTTATAACACTCTGGCGCGGCCTGCCTTCGCGCTGCGTCCGCGCCGAATATGCAGCGCCGAGCTGCATTGCGTCTTTTCAGCAGAGTGCGATAGCGTGCGTCTCCCGCTTTATCATAAGAGTACGCTGGCTGGCACAGCGAAAACTTTTACTGTCGTGATATGTGGCTTTCGTTCTGAAATAGTTATAACGATTACGAAATTTGAATTTTACTTCGAGCAATGCATGCAGTATTACGGGTGAGAAATACATTCCTTTGTAGGTTGCTTCTGGTGGGATATGAAAATAGATTTGATCGTTTGGTCATGACTGAGAAAACTCTGTAATTTCAGCAGCAGTTTCTTATGAATATTCCGTGCACGTGTCCGAGCTGCTCGAATCTGGGAGTGTTGTTGGAAGTGAATGAGGACATGCCTACCTTCAGCATTGCAAGACGCGCTTTGCTTTTCGTTGTAATATTTATCAAATTTAATGTCCTGTATCTATGACCTATGAAATAGAAACTGGTGGTGCTTCTCTTGAACTGAAATTTTGGAAGTATAAGCTCTGAATATTGGTGATATTAGAAACTTCATCGTGAATGTGATGAATAAGGTTGCTTATAATTTTTTTTCCAAACTTGTTAACCTTTTTATATGAAAATTGGATGTCTATTTTGGTGGCAAACAGTTTGTTGAGTAGTTTCATTATCATTTGGAAATTACTTAATTATTTAACAAATACATTGCTGACGCGATCACGGCGGCCTGGAGTCATTCATATCGGAGACGTGAACACAGACAAGTGGGATCTACACGCATGTGTTAGTGTGGGTGTGCGTATGTGGCTGTCACAGCTGTTAGTGTGGCTGTCACAGCTGCACCTGAAACGTTTCTACATTTGTGACGAGTAACGCTCTGCAGATGACAGTTGACAGACCTATATAGATGAGTCCACTCGCTTAACAGTTCGTAGGTCTGTTAGAGTGCTTCTGTTGGTCCCTCGAGACAACTGTGTCTTGGCTTCAAAACATAGTTTTGCTTGTATAAGCAATTTCAGGGTTAGAGATGGCTTTAAGTGTGTCGTTAATTTCTGCTTTCATACTTGAAAATTTTGTTGTTCGTTATTAATGTTTTATTCTATATGGGTTTTAGCTAGCTTTTTTATATTTTAGAACCGTCATTACCACGGCTTGAAAGTTAGTGATAAGCCTTATTTTTTTTTTTAGTAACATTGATCAAGCAATATCGGGTATGGACCTAATAATCTTGACACTTCCTCGTTGATCTCATTCAGTGAGGCTATTGAGTTTCTCTCGCACCTCTGCGCGTGTCGTCATCTTTAATCTCGTGATGCTGCCTTGGCTTTGATTTGTGGCATGACGGATCCTTATTGGCATTCTCCACGACCAGTCCTCGGGGGGGCTCGGGGCATGACGCAAGTCTCATTACTGAGACAAGATTCAGGTCGGCGAAGCTGCACATCTCCGAATTGGGACATGGGTCGCTGGTAGAATTACTTTTCATTCATAGAGACTGGATTTTACATAGCATTTTGCAAGTTTGATGGGGGGAAGAACATTTTTTAATGTTTTACGAGTATAATAATGAAATTTGTTGCTGTTTTCCCCCTTTTATGCTGAGAATGGCTCGTTTGAAAGCAATCTTGTGCGGGGCTAGAAGTTAGAGTATGAACGATCGGTTCATATTCAGGCAGCGCAACTCGTTTCAGGCTGGATGATGTGATGAAATGCGTTGATGTTTGAACGTTGCGTTCGTTGACGTCAGAATAATTTCACCGGCAGCGTCCGGCATCTTGATAGCAGCAGCCTGGCTTCACACGTTGTAGGTCACGCTGCCTGGGGCACCGCTGGCCCTGGGCAGCGAACGTCCACCGTACCATTCAGCTCACGATGGCTTATATTATATTTACACATTTCAAAGAACAATTTTTATAAAATGCTCATTAATGATCCTATTATTATGGGAAGAGATTATGGTGACGTTCGGTCTAACAAAAATACATAGTCACATTACATATGTGGGAACTAACAAAAAGTTTGAAAGTGAGTTATAAAGAAGGACTGAAAAATATAATAATATAATAAAACGAATATGTGCAATGGTCGAAGGCTCTGCAAAATAGTTCGCTCACTTCACTCTCCAACTGCAAAAGGAATAAAAAAGTTTAAAAAGTTCTCTAACGACCCTTGCAATAATCACTGCAGTAAGCTGCAGTGCAGGTGCATCACAGTGCACATGCACTGCAGAAAGCGTTGCCAAACTGTTCCTCACTGAACGAGCACACGCTGCTTCATCATAACTGGCTGGCGGTTGGCCGCTTCTGATGCGACCTACATTTCCAATTATGGAAAACTCAACGGGATAAAGACCTGATTTACGACGCCGGTTTCTTCAATCTATCGTGTGGTGAAATTCTTAATCTTGTCATGTGAATTGGTGATATTTTCTGTCATATATTGTTTTGAATTCGCTGATTGTTTGATTACAATGTTGTGAATTGTTTATTATAACGATTGAATTACGTACGAATAATCTATTTAACCTCCATAATAATAAATCATTTAATCTTGTCAAACTACGTAAACGAAGTTCGTGTATGAATGCTTAATCTATTGAATGCTATTGGAAACGACCCCTTATGAAGATCGTTGAATTATGTATCGTGCATGCAGCGTTCTCTAGATCGTACGATTGAACGTGTTTGTAATCGTAATTTTTACCAATGCTTTACTCATGCACCTTTCTCTTATTTGCAGACAAGGGCGATGACGAGACCGACCGCTCAAGTGTAAGTATAAGATTTTTGTTTAATGATGCTTCACCTATTCGTAAGATCTCCCATGCATCCCATCAGACATCTCACGTTGAATAACCGGTAAAGTAAACGTCATTTGGTTTAATCAACGTTATTTCAACGTCGTTTGGTTTAACCAACGTTAATTCAACGTCGTTTTGTTAAATCAACGCCAGCTCAACGTTGATGCAACGGACGGATCATACATCGCAATTGTTGATCGAAATCATACGGAATGTCCGTTATATAGCCAATCCCTAGCTGCTCATGTTTTACGATCATGATCGAGAGTTGATTATTTTACGAACATCGTACGGGAATTCAAGTATTAATTTGAAAGCTTGTCGTGCCAGTTTATCGAAAGATGTCGTCAGATGCGTTGCTCAATCACTTTGCTTAGGACAGACGCCGGAGTGAATGCGAAATCTTGAATACCTTTTTTTTAATTTGTTGCAACGTGACCCTTTCAATCGCAAATGTGTGTCTCCAAATTTACGCTCGATCTGAGAGTTCTGTGCATCCAGTCTAATTAGCCAATTGCTTGATGAAATTTGAATGTTTGTTGTTTGTTTCTCGAATGAATGTTTGTTGCTTGATTCTCGAATGAATGTTTGTTGTTTGTTTCTCGAATGAATGTTTGTTTGTTTCTCGAAGGAATGTTTTTTGCTTGTTTCTCGAACGAATGTTTGTTGTTTGCTACTTGTATGTTTTATCAAAACATTTCTCCGTTGAAAGAGCGGAGTTATCCCATAAAACTCGTACTGCCAAGTTTGGGTCATTGCTGAACTTGCAGTCACCGTAAGAATGATTAGCATGCAGTACCAGGCCTGCGTGGCTGTCGTGCTCTGTGGCTGTGTCTAGCTGGTGAACGTTGGTTATGTCTCGCGTAAACACTGGTCATGTTTTCTGTGGTTACAGCTCCTCTGTGTACTGAGATTGTGTGAAGCTATACCTATTGTGAACATGAATTGTCTTCTGTGATTTGTATATAGATGTTATGTCGTGCATTGGAGATGCTATATAACTAGTGTAAAAGAGCTATTTTTTGAGTAGATGTTTTGTCGTGTGTATGAGAGGCTATGTTTTGTGTACAGGAGTTGTTTTCTGTGTAGATGTTATGTCATGTGTATTTTAGGGCATATTTATTGTGTACAAGAGTTGTTTGCTGTGAAGATGTTATGTCGTGTGTGTGTCAGGGTATATTTCTTGTGTACAAGAGTTGTGTTCTGCCAGTGTAGATGTTATGTCGTGTGTATGTCGGGGCATATTTCTTGTGTACGAGAGTTGTTCTCTGTGTAGATGTTATGTTGTGTTGGTGATAGGCTAAATGTTTTGTGTACAGGAGCTATTTTTTGTGTAGATGTTATGTCGTGTGTAAGAGAGGTAATATGACTTGTGTACAGGAGCTTTTTCTGTGTAGTTGTTATGTCTTGTGCGCACGCTCGGTCACGAACAACACAAAACAATAAAGTTTAGACCACAGCGGTCACGCTCCCACAGATCAAATCCTGGTCACATTCGCTGAATTGAGCAAGAAGTCGCGCTGTTCCCACTGCGTCGCGTATGCGATTAGTGTTTTGTGTTGCAATGCATTAACTCTTTACGCTATTGTGCATCATGTTTCCCGCGCTGTTTTTTTTTTGGCCTGAAATAAATTACAACATATGCGCTCGCATCACAATAGTTGAGGTACAAAATGTACCTAAGTGACGTGCAGCAGCTGCACAATACTTCATACATGACTGCCGTCAATATTAATCAGCATACGAAATCAGATGTCAATTATTTGTTGACACTACTCTAGCCGGTGAAGTAATTACGGTATTATGTTACGTGCGGCGTTCATTCTACAATCGCACTTACAGTATATCTACCATGTTCTGTATATATTCGATAAATTTAAACAGACTTGTACGTACTTCATGCAATGTTGACAGCTCGATGAAAACCTGCAGCCCATGTAACGCATCGGTGACACGTGTCTTACATTTCCATCTGGCCATCGCCTCTGCCAACGAAGTTTAGGGTAGCAAAAAAAAAAAACACGCGCAGTACAGTGTTTGGTTTCAGCAAATCAAGAGCCTCCAAATACATCACGATATTGCTTTTTACTACGATCTCAGTTATCGTTCAGGAAATCGTCTCTCTGTCGTTGTTCAAGTCCAGTATTATGACAAAAATTCAATCTACTCATTCTAGAAGGTTTTGCTTTGGTTGTGTCATCTATATATCGATAACCTGGTTCATACTTCCCATATATATAGGATGGTGACTCAATCTGGGAAAGAAATCTCTATATTGTTATTTATTCGATATTCCTTATTTTCGAGATGGTGTGGATTTAACTAATGTTTATTATACGACATTTGAACTAGATCGTCAAAAATCCTTCAAAATTTTAGAGCGTGGGATATACCTTTCATTTATAAGGTTAGATAATCCCTATTGGGACGAGATGAACATCAGAACACAATGTCTCTCCGCACCGGCAATCGTGACTCAAGAGGGTTGAGACACCCTTCACGGACTGCTCGTTGTGCCCATTCTCTTATTTGAGAGCTGGTGACCTGCCTTCGCCCACTTTCTCACCAAACTCCATTAAAACTCTAGGCATGTCTGGTTGAGTTATCTCGAAGAAAAGAATAAAGTTTTCTTTGCTGGAGGTAAAAGTGACATTTTGAATAGCACAGAGCTCACCACGCTCGCTTTTTCGTGGTATCCACGATATTTTGGAAACACAGTCATTGTCAATCCTTGTGTTGTTGCACTCATCTGTTTTATTTTAATGTTCGGTTGTATTTTCAATATCAAGATTCGTTGCTGCATGTGCAAATTGTGATTTTATGTCCATTGCCTTTCAAGTACCTCTGCCAAAATGTCCAATGTTGCACTCGTGGGTTGCAGAATTGCGTATCCGAGGCTCTTGAATTCATCATAGTATAGCTTCTACAGTTGGTATTGTGCTGCCTCCATAACCTATACCCATTTGGTCCATTTTACACAGCCAAGACTGAAGTTAGATGCAGAAAAATAACATGTGATGGTAAAAAAGTTAATCAACGTCGAAAGATTGAACTGAATCGACCACAAAGTTGTAAAAAAAATCATGACTGTCTAAGTTCTTCCCATATTGTGAATTTTGAATCTACGTATTTGTTTCTAGTACAACAGAATTCTACTAAACTGGCCTCAGACTTAACGAAGTACACATTTTTCTGAGCACTTGGCAAATGTATACTAAAATGAAATAATAATATATTAAACATTAATCGTACAATCACCTTACGTTTGATTGTCATGATTAGATTGAGTGACACCATCCACGTGACGATGCTCCTTTCACGTTAGTGGAGGGGAAACTCATCATTTAAATTTGAAAATAAATTCAAAATATCTCTTCAATATTTGCTTTGTTTGGTTTCTGAACTTGCAGCGCTTTGCTGGATTTGCACGCTTTGCGATTTGTGCGCTTTGCTCTGTCGTCGTTTTATTGTTCGCTGGTGAAGACCAAGCATTGAACGCGCTAACTCAGTGCTTCTTGCTGGCGCTTCTTGTTAGACGCCCGGCCTTTTCGTTGTGTCATTCAAGAACTACTGTAGCTGCGTGCAGTTTTTCACGAGGCTTTTATCGTCTACATTCCGGTGAGTTTGAGCTCGAGTCACGCGCCTGTTTCTTTCCCGAGACAAAACACTGAGGGGTTGGAGTCTGATTAAGAATCAGATGCTGTACGACCAAGAACTCTGATGGTAGAAGTTGGTTCAGAAACAAGCAAGCTGGCTAGCTGGTAACGCATCCGCCATGGATTTGCTAATTTTAAATCTGAAGTGGAATTGGCCGTGTAATTTCGGATTCCCCGAATTATTTAAAAGCATCTGTCTGACTGATTAATTTTCGTGACCCAATTGGAACTCGGTTGCGGATGGCCCTTCGTCCTTCTTCAATTTCTATTCAGTTTTTGTATTCAGTAATTTGTAAGAGGTTTTGCGAACAACAATTGTAATGAATCGTATAGCGTGCACAGTATACTCGTCCACCTGGCAGAGCGCACGTGTTGTAAGTGAAAGTTTAACTTGACTAATAATGTATTAGTCCAAGGTAATAACATTTTTTCACCACTTCATTGTACTCGTAGTTTAATATGACAGTTGTTGTCAGCAAGTATCGTTGCGAGTGACTTTGTAGTACAAGTAATGTAATTTAACTCTTTCGGCATAATTAGTATGAATGAAAAATTGTATGCCAGTAACTTTTCAATAAAAGTAAAGTTGTGAACGAAGTAAAGTGAGACGTTTGATTGTGCAGCACACTCTGCCCCGTCGCCCTGCGTACTCCCTGCTACAGAAGGTACTGCCTCGTGGCATGCGTGTGTGTACCTTCCCAGTTGTGTACAATCTCTGTACAGTAACTTTATCACTCATGTGACCGCTATCCAGTAGATAAGTGTGTCTTCTCTTAGCTAGTTTATTCTGCAATGAAGTGCCCTGTTGTCAAAAATTGCTGTGACTACCTTGCTGAATGTTGAGGGCGTCTGTTGTCAGTGTTGTGTGTTTATGTCATAATCAAACTAGAGTTATCGTTATATCGATAGTTTCTTCAGAAACATTGTCTACAATACTCGGCTCAGATTTCATTGTAAATAGTGAGGAATTTTTTAGCTTCGTTCTTATTCGTCGATTACATCACGCGTTATCTTAGTTTCTAACTTTCCGACGATATTCGTCTCCTGAGAGCTCCACACACCGCCGGTGTGGTCACAGCACCTCTCATTACTGATTGATGTGCCATTGTGGTCCATGTGTTTGAGTTTCTTAGAACCTGTCTTTATTGTTCACCTTACTTTCTTGAAGTGAGTTATAATCAAGTTTTTCTTTTAGAACCAGTCTTTATTATTGCACTAATTTTCTTGGTGTGAGTTATAACTAGTAGAATGGTCTTGTAAGTTAACAATGATAACCACGACTCGTCTCTCCTCTGCAGACATGTGGCGCTACCACCCGGACCAAGGTAGACCGTCACATGATGCGCCTTCATGTTCGCCTCATAGCATTTTCAATTTATTTCATGGATTATGTTTGTTGCGCAGAGCTTCAGCTTGTATTGTGCCTTTTTATGTCATCCAAGTTTTTCTCTATAGGTTATAGTGGATGCTTCATCAATTCGATAGTTAATGTAAAATTAGTGATTTTTCTGATTTCTATTTTCCTGTTATTAGCAGAAGTGCGTCAGAAAATTGTGTTTTGTTTTTTCCATAGTTGCTTGGCTTTTCGGATAAGTTTGTTATTATTTATTGCATGTTCCGCCAATATTACAAACGATTAGCTGTAGTCGTTTGAGTCAGTCCTCTGTGACAGGTGTTTCGTAACTCACGTCCAGGTCTGGAGTGTCCAAGCATTCCTTGCATGCCGATCTCTGGGCCCAACTCGTGTCCCTCCATTCGATGCGTGTTGAGAAGTTCGAGATGTTGGCCAAGCAATTACTGAATATGGCTTAACATAGGATGTGGTGCTTAGAACCTTTCGGAAGAATAATGAAACCGTCGAGTTCTTTAATTTTTGGTATATGCTAGGTATAGATTTTGGCGTTTACATGGGCATTGATCTCGTATCTGTTGTGTATTAGGCCTAATACTTCAATTTTATTTGTGAGATTAATATGGGGAGCATTTGACTGGCCATTTGTTTTCCAAATGAATCTTCAGGAGTGTTTTTGAAATAATGAATCGCCGGTTTAAGATTTGCGTGTGCCGCGGTGCGAATACTAAGGTCCGAATTGGGATCATATTGCTTTTCTCAACCCCCATGCTCGATGTTACTGATGGTTTTATTCTTGCATTATAATTTAACATATAATTTGCACTGTAATTAAACGAGCTACGATGGTCGAGCAGATCAAGTCTGGGAGCGGCATTGGTGGTGGGGGCAAGTCCAGGGCGAGTTCAGCTCCCCCTGTACGCCGCACCGTCCTGGGGGCGCCTCTTGGGGCTAAGGGATCCCAAGCTACAGGTCAGTGTCAGCTTATTGTGTTTATCGTTTCACCTTGACAATAGGAGCATTAAGTTATGTTATGGTATAACTGGAATTAATAAGGAATCAAATCTGTCAAAATAATAGTGGCACGTCCAAGCCTCGTGATGGTGAAGGACAACTTTCTGAATTAATAATGAGCTTGTAAAATTTCACCCTGCAACTAAAGAAGCATCATAATTAGGAAGTCAACCACGACTTGATTTGATTTTGATGGTCTATGTCGGTTGCACTGTAGACATGCAGAACCTTGCCCTGACATCAAGTGTCGTTACACGTACTTGATCTCATTGCTTCCACTACTGGGATGCGGTGTTTTTACATTCATATTAATCCTCTGGTGGTGACAGGACTTATTTTTTCTGCGCTTTTGAGCAGACACTCGGTCTATTATCCCTAGCCAAGAAGTATGCAACTTACACAGATAGTAATTCCTGACTGTAATATATTGACTGTTTTCGTTACTAATAGCATCCCGTATGTGTTTCTGCCGTGAAATTGTTCAGCATGTGATGCCATGTTCTCTCCCTCACTTGACGTGCGTGCTGCCCAATCTTTCACTCTAAAATAGCTCGTGTGATCTCTTATCTGCAATTCATAGTGAAATGTTTCGTATTCAACATCAATATATACTAACTGCTCGGGTCAACAAATCGTGTTCTTCTGACGCACGCGTTCTACCTTCACTAATGGTTCTTTGTACAGATTTAAAATGTTTCGGTTTACGGAGTTGAATTCTGTGTGAGCCATGAGCCTCCTAATTTGCATCTGAACGCCAACCTTCTTGTGTTCAGCTTCCCCTTTGATTGATAAGTAGACGAATTTTGTGGTGGTTTTCTTTGACGTTGTTTACGTGCAACTTGGTTGTGGGTGTTGCATAATGTTGTAGATTGTGGTGTGTTTGTTTTGTTTTAATTATCATGTTGATTATTCCAAACTGAACGGGTTTAGTAACTGGACTTTAGCAGTGTGGTAATTTTATCTCCAAATTTGTGTTTGTTACCGGCGACACGAGCGTGTAACCGTGTGGTGTGTTGTGATGCTCACGTCACGTATTAATGTGATGAAGGTGAAGGAGGTGCAGCAGGTGGTGGCAGTAGTGGCAGCTCCACGAGAGGAGGTTTGGTCAAGCGCAACCCCTCGATGCCAAGAGGACGAGCTGGGTCCTCTAGTGGCACAGGTGCGACTATATCTCTTCGGCCGTACTATCTACTATCAGAAATTCTTATCAGTTTGGAACTCCGTCAGCCAATCACTGACAGCGTTCCGCGCTAAATCCATCAATCTCAAACGAGAAATCGGCCGTTACTTAATAGATTATTGATAGCACAGCCTTATTGCTCTGCAACTCTATTTCAAAGAGCTCCAGTTGGAGAGCGATTCTTGAATCCATTAGACCAAATCATAACATAGGCTAAATATTGAGGTTGATATAACTATAAATGGTACGTAATGTATAGTCCGTAATGGACAGCTTCGACATCCGAACTGCTGTCTGCGTGGATGTCGTGCTCACGCCTACATTACATCTGAACATCTTGGTTTCATCTCAAAGTTCAACATAGCGTTGCTAGTAACGGTTTGCTCTGATTTGGTTTCTTAGGTCCATCGAGACTTAATCGTATAGTGCTGCTTACTCTAACTAATCAATTCACATTTTGTGACAATTGCGAGATTACGTTTTAAAGTAACGGCGAGAAGTTCATCTTGCTATCTCGCACATCTTGACATCATCAGGATTGAAACGCCGCTAATTAATCATGCGATTCAATTAGTTCGACGTATTAAAATAATATTTACCCACTTTCAAAGAACCGAAGAGAATATGCAGTTTAAATTCACTTAATTTCGTTTATCACAAATACGCTTCTATAATTGCACCACTGATGCTTTCTCACTACGCGAGTTGTGAGTTTTGTGTTGCTTTCATTGGTTTGGTGTTGCTTGTTTGTTTGCATTGTGCACAATTCTCGCTATTTAGCTCTACTCTTGCTAGTTCATAATTCACTTCACTAATCCTTGTTGTCGTTGCTTAAACAACCTCAATATGTTCTCACTGACGCCTTCTACAACGAATGCTTAATTAAGCATGAATGTGTGCCTCTGACAATCGCTCAATTCCCAATCTCTCTTCGTTTGCTTACTAATTTCCTATGAATAATTGGTGTAATATCGCTGAAGTTGAGCTGTGTTTGCCAGCTGCTGGAGGTGTGGACGAGAATTACTTCCTGAACGCCTTCGACGACGCGCCTAAAGTGAACATCTTCAGCACACGCGAGCTCGACGATATCATGAACAAGATACGCGATACAATCAACAACCCCAACAACGACTGGGACAAGCGCGTCGACATGGTACGTTTGGTACACGATACTTTCGCTTAGGAATTCCGGAATTACTTGTATACAGTTCCATTCCCGTTATTTCATGTCCGTTTGACGGATTTATTGGATTTAAATGCTGCCGTAATCGGTAAATGTCAGTAGCCCGTTTATCATCCAAAGCGAATCGCTTGTCCTAGCGCTCAAATAAACTGCCCTTTTTCTCAATATGTTATCATAATTTCGACCATTCATAAAATTATTTTCAGATGCACCTTGTAATGCAAATATTTCTCGTTTCGTTTTTTTTTAAATTTATTTTAGCGCTAGAAAATTTCAAGTCGTTGATATATCAACAGCTGAAGAAGGCTCGCAGCGTGGTGATGGCGGGCGGCCACAATTACGATGAATTCTACCCTCAACTCCGCCTGCTCGAGCCTGCGTTGTGTCTGTCCATCAGAGATCTAAGGTAATGCAACTGCCACTTGTCGGGGTCCTCGGGTAATTCGATCGTTAGTCTGAGATCTTTGGCTACTTCTTGTCTCTTTCATATTACTTTCCGCTTCATATCTCAGCATCGTTGGCGCTGCAAAAAAATTTCTTTTTGGAATAGATAGTAGTATTTAAGACGAATTTAATTAGTTCACTCCAGGCAAGCTTCATTTAAATATTTCTTATAATTCTTTCCTTTTTATCGTAAACAGTAACTTTTTATGACGCTTGCTGTGCTCATCACTCGCTGTATTGCACTCTCTACTCGCCGCATTTCCCGTTAATCATACTCTTTGCCCTGAGATACATCCGCTTACTAAGTTGTTTAGTGCTCTACAAAAGCTTATGCATGATACGATTCTAAAATTTTCTATGTAGCCTATGGTATGAAGCCAAAACATTAAGAAAAACTCGCTCATAGCCTCATACAAAACCTGTTATGCGGCCATTAACGCAGAATTGAAACAAGCTAACAAAGTTTTAATGTGGAACTTTACTGAGCAGATCACAGGTGGTGCGAGAAGCGTGTATTACAGTAGCGTATTTAGCTCAGGAGCTACACCACCGAGTGGACCATCTGTGCGAGATGGTCTTGCCTCATCTCATCGCCCTCATACCCAACGGTGCTAAGGTGAGCTTGTCAGCTTGGGTCAATTCTTTTTCTACCTGCAAGGCATATTCCGTTGAAATAACGTTGAGTAAACATTGTTTTAACGAAATTAATTTTTAAACGGAGTTGTTTAACTCCTAATCAACGTTGTTTCTACGTCATTCGACTTGAAGGTTGCGTCGAATTCTAAATTTTAGAATGACGCTATATAGGCAAGCTGATGTTAAAGTAGATGGTTGTTTGGCCCTAAAAGGTTATGCGAGGCTATGCAGAAGACCATGCAAGGTAGTATAGTCCTAATCTAGGTATGGCCACCATACCACCATACCTAATAGAAGGATTCACTTGAATCCTTCTATTTGTAGGTGTTAGACAAATCCACTATTTTTAAGTGTTGTCGTTAAGATCTCACTATTTTAAGTGTAAGAATAGTGCTAACCGTTCTTCTGTGGCAGGTGATGTCGACGTCGGGTACCGTGTGTATCCGCTTCATCATCCAGAACGTGCACCACCCGAAGATCGTGCCGATCATCTTGCGCGAGCTGACGTCGAGCAAGAGTAGAGAGATACGTAAAGCTTGCTGTGAGTTCCTCGACCACATCGTGCACACGTGGCCTACGCACGCCCTCGACAGGAACTCCGCCGCCATAGGAGAAGCCATCAAGAAGGGCATCAGTGACGCCGACTCTGAAGCAAGAGCCTTCGCCAGAAAGTGAGAGCCTCATTTTTGCGACACTCATTTAGTTTGCAATAATACATAGATTCTGATATTAATACTTTTCTATAGCGCGCATGTTTATTTGACTGTCGCTTTTGAAGAAAATCTTTCAGTTCTTTCGAAACTAGCGGTCTTTGTTAATTTCTGGTAATTGTATCCTTTTTTTATTGTAGAATTTTGTCCCGTTCTGTTTGCCGTCGGTCATAAAAGAAAACTTTGAGCTGTTGTGTGAAGTGGAGTAACCAGGTGGTGGTCCACTTCAGTATGATGTGTTGTGCACGTAGCACTTCTGAATGATGTTTTGTGCTCGTAACACTTCGGTATGATGTGTTGCGCACGTAAAACTTCTGTATGATGTGTTGTGCACATGGCTCCAAGTTATGATGTGTTGACAGAGCGTATTGGGGATACGCGGACCACTTCAAGGAGGAGGCGGACAAGTTACTCAACTCTCTAGACGCGAGCTACAAGAAGATGTTGCAGGGCGAGATGAGCGGCTCCATGAGTGCGTCTAATTCTTCTCATTCCATACAGCAACAGTCAAGCCAACCCGCTAAACCAGGTCGGTATAACAGTCATAAATATAGCTAGCTGGTTACTAAATGTTATCGCTCAAGAATAGCAAGTTTTCAGTGGTAGTTGTCGTTTGCGATCATGCGCCCTGAGGCTGGTCCGTTAATGTACTTATGCAGCTTCATTATCTGGCCATTAAATCTTCTTCATCTGCTGGGTTCGTAACTTGGTAATTATTCTACCATGTGTCATGTAAGCTCAGACGCCGAGGCCACTTCTGCCGATCGTTGCTTCTCGAGGTGCGTTTTACGTCTTCCGACTTAGCCCTTTGCTGCCCTACCATTGCGCTCACCCAATTCTTTGCTTTGCTTCCACTCATACTCTTCAGTTTGATACTCATCATTAACTCCTGTCTTCAATTGGACAAAAATAATTGGCAAATATTCAGTACCTTTTCTTTTAACGAGCACATTTAGTACCATTGGGCCTATCGCGTCTACGTCGCATTCCAAAATTTATTGCGCTCCTACAGAGGTATTTATACCGTTAAGAAATCTCTTATCTTTGAAATATTTTATTTAAAAAAAAAATTATTTTGATTATTGGCAATCGTGGTATAATTTTTTGTACTTTCTAAGTATGTGAAACCGCTATAATTTAAGATGGTTGAGCTATCGTACATGAATTTCATATCACCGCATCTATTATTAAGTAGCTCTTCAGCCGTCTTTTTAAACCAGTCTGAATTCAACAGCAAAATTATCTACCAAGATCCTTCTGCCTAATTTATGTAATCATCACTGGCCCTAGGTAAACTAGATTCCCAAAACTAGCCATACCTTAAATATTTATTGCTGAATTAGTCGCAGATAGTGTATATGTATACACGTGTGATGATTTCTATTGTAAATGTTCATCAAGGGACTCATGATAATAAGCTAGGGAAGGCAGACTGGTGTTTATACTTCATCGCACGCATCGCTCTCTACACTCGCTCCTGTAGCTCCCCTTCTCCTTGCTTTGGCCTTTGATTGAAGTTCTCATTTAAGGGCCGGCGTGAATGAAAAGCTTATTTGGACCCATTTGTTTTCATTTCACCCTGAAACCAGTCGGATTTTCTTAGATTTATATATTTTTATGAGTTTTACACTGAAATTGTTTTGTTATCCCTCAACTCTCTCAGATTTACGTTAACATTTTTATTTATTTTATTTTTGTTTTCTCCTTGACTTGCTTGTGCGCGACGCCCGTTTCCTGCCGTCGCTTTGCTTGCTCCCTTGGATGACGTACAGCCCTGCCCCCCCGCACCGGCTGGTCCCGCCCTCCCACCTCATCCACTTCAGAGCATCAATTCCCCTCCACATCCTCCTCCTCCTCTTCATCCCACCAACATCATTTCCTCACATCGTCTACGTCAAACCCCATGACAGCGTCAGCCTCAGGACTGCCCACACGTACGGGCAGCTTGCGCCGTACGGGCATCCCCACCGCAAGTCACCGCCCGCCACCGCCGTTAACGTCCCGCCACCTGCATTATGACGCCCCCGACGGCGGCTACAGAACTCCCGCCACTCCCACCACCGGATTCCGGTCCAACTCCGCCATCGACGTAAACGCTGCTAGACGTGCGCAGGCGCGAGCTCAGTACGCTAACGCGAACAGGTTCAAGGCTGGATCTGGAGTGTCTTTGCGTAAGTATAATGCGTTTTGTTCCTCACTGGGTAGGTGCGTATCCGGAACACTTGGGGGTTATATACGACCACGTTACACTCGCATACACAGTTAAACACGTCCAGGGAATGAAGGCACTGCGTACCGATGCTCAAAGCTTGGGCACCACGCAAATTTGTCACCATTATAGACCTCTTCAAGGAATTATTGGTGGCTATCAGTACAGAATTCTAATAGCTTCCCTCGCAAATTAAGACTAACGTTAAGTATCGCTTACTGTAACGTTTAGTATCGCTTTGTTGAGAAGACCTTCCCGCCCTCACTAGTCGATGTTATTACTTGGAACACACGTGCACTTCACACCACACGAATGCAAACATCACTATATTCTTAAGACAGCACACCCGCGTTTATTTTGTACCAAATTTGTACATTCGGTATTGATAGACATCTATTTCTTACAAAAAACTATTAGTTAATAAGTATATGCTATTGTTTGATGTTACGTTTCTCTTTATTCTGTCTAATGAACTTGGTCTGCTGAAGCATGTAATCGGCACTGAGCCTCAGCTTGCAGTGCGCTACTTAATTTCTCGAAAGATAATTGGCTTCTCTTCCGCGTTATAGTCGTACTTCATGCGAATATTATTGCTTAGTTATTAATGCGTCATCAGGCATTTTATATCCAACGAAAAGGAGCTGGTTGTTTGAAGCCTAACCAGTCAAGAATAAAAATGCTTTGGAATTTTCAGTTACTTCGAGGAAACCTTTATGTACACAGAAGCAAAATTTTTAAGTTTCAGAAAGTAATTGATGTCATGTAAACGTTTTAGAAAGCAATTTCATTTTGTTTTGCAATTCACAACCCTTGTTATTCTTATTATATGATGACCTTCATATTTTTCTTCGTTCCGAAATTTTCTCTCTAATTTAATTGGATTCAAGGAGCTCAGTAGAATCTGCTTTCAAGTTGATATTATTTCAAAGCTTTTGAGAATTGTAACATTCTTTGCTTACTTCAGCTGATCGAGTCGTGCTTGTCTCTTAGTAGAGCTTGCTTGCTTTTCTTTGCTGCAATTGTTAGAGCCATTGGGCAGATCAGAAAAAAAGTTTTGAGGTTACGAATAACTGAATCTCCATGCTTCGTAGATAGATTAGTATAACTTTATAATATTACTAAAAATATATGCATGAATTTAGCTGCAATTATTTTGATAGGAATCTTGTGTATATTATATAGAAGGAATTGGTCAGAAGGCTGATGGTCCATTTCTCGTTTGTGCAAACAATTCGCTCTGTACTGAATGCCTGTTCCTCATTACTGTTGATTTCATTCTTGTTTGTTTGACGTATCCGTTTGACATGAGTTTTATTTCTTCATCGGAGCTTCTGTAATTGAAGTAACCTATCTTTTAATAATAAAAACAATTATCTTTATCTTATGACAATTTTTTCTCGTATCTCTTCACTTGCTAACATTTCGCTGCTCTACCATCACCGTGATGCCGCAGTGGGAGATCTCGGTGAGTTGCGTCGGTCTGTCGTATCTGCCGTTGCATGCAATCAATGCTTGCTCGTGCACCCAAACATTGGTTCTGGAATTCTCTGTGGTTATTTTCTTGGTCACTTGATTGTCGAGTCTTCCACCTTTTTCATATTTTAATGGATTGACGACATTATAGGAGCTCTTAAAATACACGCCACTAGATGTTATTTTTAGTTTTTCGGGAGTTTTTTGTATACGATGAATCGCCCAAAGATTAAAGCCATTTCTAAAATGTGAGATTGTCATGTTTTCCCCAAGACCATGGCAAATTCTAATTATAGAATTCCATTCACATTACTGCAACATTTTGACTCATGATGCACATGCATTTTTCTTTTGTTATAATTTTATTGTTTTCCACAAACCTTAACATGATGTTTGACACCATTTTCCTTGAGTGAGTTGTAATGCAGAAATTGACCACCGAGAGGATAAACTAACACCACACTGGGTTTACCTAATTAACGTGATCTTGTTGGTGGTACAGCGCGTCCCCGCAAGTCCATGGACCATCCCCCTCCCCTGAGCAACTCCTCCATCATCTCCCCAGAGCGTACGCGTCCCCGGACTCGGGGGACCGTATCCCAATCCCAACGTGAGTACTGCCTCATCCCCTCCTTCCTCCTTACGTCCCCTACTTCCTCCCCCAAAGCCTCCTTCATTCTTCTTCCCGTAAACGTCTTCGGACAAGGGGGACGTGTTACTGCCCCCCAACTCCTCCCCCTTCTCACCCCTCCCCCCTCATTCTCTCGTCTTTCCGATGTTCTCATTTTGCTTTTTCTTGCTGACGCCGTCGCTTTGTCTCGTTGCGTGAGTACCTCCTAGTCTCCGGGGCTCCCAAGCGCAGGTCTACAACTTTTCGCGCGACGGAATTCATCAATTAGTTGGAATGTTTCGTTGCACTCAAGTTCAATTAAATTATGTTCATTTTATAAACGAGCAAACATTTATATTTGATGTTTTGTAATGGAAGATTTCATTCCGTTTTATTTCTCACGAAACACATGCGTTTTTCTCTAAACGTCTAAGCTATCGCATGATTAGAAAATAAAGCTTTAAGAGCATTTAGAAATGCAGAAGAAATAGATTTTGACTCATTTACTTGTAAAACAGCAACTCTCTCTTACCATATTTGTTCGTAACGTCATCTGTGTTTACTGACCAGCTGGTAGTCGCAGCGGTTCTCCTTCATCTCGCCTGAGTTACGCGACGTACAACTCTTCGCACCACCTGCCACCTCACCAGAACTCTGCAGGTGGCAGCGGTGGCACTCTAGGCCGTACACGTCGCAGGAGTGGCATCCCTCGCAGCACTGGCACCTCCAGAGAGCCGTCACCTAACCGTGCGGGTCAGTACGCCGGGACATACGCCCCGTCCTCTGCCACCACACCGAAGGGCAGGACGCGCTCTGTGTCTGGTGAGTTACAAGCCAGCTCATACAAACCCCTTATCTTAAAATAAATTTTTTTCCTATTTTTGCGCAATGTATAATATCCTGTCATGTTGTGGCGCCGTATCGCAATAACTTTTCTTTCTCGTGATGACATTGTGCTTGCTGAAGGAATTATCACGCCTTACTGGTTTATAAATTATGTTGTTGATATGTAATGAAATATCTTACATTGGTGAGGAGTGTGCTAGTGCCTTCGATGACTTTCGATCTTTGGTGTTAGAATGAGATGCCCTTAACCTCCCATTGTATTTAATTTGAAATCAAGAAAAATTAGTGTTTTACTAAGATTCGAGTCGTTCTAAGCGCATAGATTTCCCTGTCGTAATGAGCTGCGTGATGGCAGGTGCAAGTGGCCTAGAGATGCCGCCCTCTGGCAAGCCGCGACAAGTCATCGCCGAGAAAATCTTGCAGCAGAGCAGGGAAGCTGAGAATGCCCTAGCCGATGCCCTTGTGCCTTCTTCCTTGGTCAGTGTTTGTTCTGTCTCATAGAATAGAATAGTTTGATTTATCCCTAGAATTTATATGGAATGCTAATCTGCTTTGGTTGACATCCCCTTACTAATCGGTAAATCGGGTTTGATTTAACAGAACCTATTGTTCATGAGAAGCAAATTCCCACTGCGAATCTATTAATTGCTTCAATGTGTGGAGGGTACTTTGGTATTGTCGTGTAACAATGTAAACTGTCACTCACAGCGGTCACCGAGTCGCAAGTTCTCCAAAGGCTTCGACGATCAGTCGGAATGCGACAGCGAAACATCGAGCGTTTGCTCTGAGCGCTCCTTTGACTCCTATCGTAGGAACGAAGTGAGTCTTTGAACTTTATTTCTTATTCATGCTTGAGATGCTGTCATGTTTCAGCTTCTCTGCTTGGCCAATTTTGTAGTGAGCTCGAGTTTTTAACCGGATCATAATGTTTAAGCTGCTAATTTTATTTTCTACATTTTGTCCACAATTCCAACTCACACTTATTTGACGGTTGGTGGATCAGAGTGACATACGGAGTATACCCACATTTTTCAATGAACATTTACATTTAAAACTCAAAGGTTCTTTTGAAATGTGCATCACTTTTGCTTAAGTTTCTTTGCAGTTGACTGTGCTTCAGCTTCTTACTTTTGACAGACATTTGTCTCAGAATATAATATTCCAAACGAAATAGTGCGTTACGCATGGTTTTTGTAAACTGAATACACAAAACATCAACTCATTTTACGATCTTGTTCCTGAAATGCATGATTTTCAGCAACTACTGCGTTGTCTTGCCTGGTGTGCCTTTAATTTGAAAGTCTAACTGCTCGAGCTGCCGAGCTTTAGCTACTGTGTGCAGAATACAACCCGCTACCATCTTTGTCGAAGCTTCAGCTTTTTTGTTGATGCCTCTTCTTTACTAAGTCGGCTTATTATTACTGATTTAATATGCTTTGCTTTTACATCTGTGCTCACGCTCTGAACGGAGTCATAACCATTACATTATTCTTGAATCTTCGGTATTTCTATGTAAACTTATAAACACACTAACTCGTTGTACTCTGTTGAGATCAGACGCATTGCGTGCTGCATGAATTTCACGCTACATTTCTGCTGCTGATTGGTATCACGATTACATATACCTTACGGCTTATATGCGCTGAGTAGATCATGTTTGAAGTACAACGAAGCCGTTCTACATCTCACTAATCTCTTGCATTGATCATGTGAGTTTGATGCGTTTGTTGAGAATGGCGTCTCTGTCGCTCATTTATGTACAGAAATGCTTGGAGTTTGCGCCAGGTCTGGCAACATATCATTTCATTCCAGCGAATTACTCGCTCACGGAATATTTCGACAACTTTATTGAATTATTTTCTTAAGTTATGCACATTTTGTGCTTATGATGCATTAATGAGAGGCCTCATTGAGAGATGATAAACGAGAAAAGCATGATGGAAAACTGCCCACTGTGCCCACAGCTGTTCTGGCATGGCTCGCAACAGAGGATCCTGAAGGAAGTGTGGGACGCGCCTGACAAGGTGACCTCTTCTTTACTCCTCTAATTATTAATTATTAATTTAATTTAGTCTCGTGCAAAGCCTGTCATACTTCAACGACTGCGTTGCACTCGTGCTCTGTTCTCGTCTTTTTTCTCTGCCTCAATAATTATATTTTTCGAAGCATCTTGCATGTGGGCCGGGCAATTCGGTATCTTTTACACATTCACGGAAGCCTTCAAGGTTTTAATTTTCATCGTGGGAATGGTTGATTCTTTCTCCATGAGATTTTTTTAGAGGAGAACTATTGAAATTCAAGAATTGTGATCACTGATATTAACAACTCGATCGTGTTTCAAACATGTCCAATAATTAACGCAGAATGTTAATTTCAATAACTTTTCCTCCTCTTCTAAAGCTTTGAAAAATTGATCTCTATAGAATTAGGCCAGAACAAAATTCTTCGCTTTGTAAATTCTCGTGCAGTGTATTTTTCTCCATGTCTCGATTATATAGATTTATTTGCAAATTTCCATCTTGACTTGCTTTGTTTACTCTATCATGAAATACCTGCTAAACGCGTCAAGGTGTCTCCCATAATTCCTATAAAATTACTCGTTGAAAGTTTTGTCACAAAATTTTCTCGTAAGCTTGTGTTAAAGAAGCGAATAAACACATAGTTGCTCGGAGAAACATTATATTGTGATTTATGCTTCAGATGTTGGACGTGCCTGAGATCATCACGAACTGCGCGTCGACATATTGGGGGGAGCGCAAGGAAGGGCTCCTTGCTCTGCACAACTTCCTCAGAGGCTCAGCCATGCTCACGGGGTCCGAGCTCAAGAAAATCACCGAGATATTTACCAAGATGTTCATGGATGCTCATACCAAGGTGAAAATGCCTAAAATATTCTGGAAAATTCATTTGATATTTGTCTGCTTACTGTGCACAATGCAGAAGTTCATTCAAATTCTCCATGCATCGACAAGAAGCGTCTTGTGATGAATACTTAATTGTCTTTTCTGTTTCAGGTGTTCACGTTATTCTTGGAGACGCTGATGCAGCTCATCTATGTGCACCGAGCTGACTTGGAGGACTGGCTGTATGTATTGTTAACTCGTCTCCTTCACAAGCTCGGCTCCGACTTGCTTGGATCTGTTCAAGCCAAAATCCACGAAACGCTCGACTTGGTTAGGTGAGGAATACTTACCGTTAAATCTTTTAAAAATTGTTAATGTTGCACCTCAACTGGTTATCAAAGAAAAGGGTCATAAAATCTCCCTTTAATGCGATAGAATTTTTCCGGATGAAATGACCCAGAGTAGTTTCCAAACAGTACCTGTTTGGAAACGTAAAACTAGTAGGTAATATTGTCTTAGTACAAATTACGTTTTATTATTGCGTTTGAAATACACTGCTGTTAGGTATAGTTGTTGAAGATTGTTGTACTTGCAGATCTTCGTTCCCATGCGACGCGCAGTTCCAAGTGATCATGCGGTTTTTGGTTGACCCCACGCAAACACCCAACAATAAAGTGAAGCTTTCCATCCTCACTTACCTGAAATGTCTGGTGGACGGCATGGAGAGGTCTGACCTCGCCTCGTCTTCCGACACGCCCGTAGCTCTTGCTAAAATCCTCACATGGACCGCAGACCACAAGAGTGTGGAGATTAGACGTGCTTCTTCCGCTTGTTTTGTGGCCATGTTCAACTGCAACCAGCTAGAGTTCACCAATTTACTGCAGCAGCTACCGCCAGCTTGCCAGAGCACCGCCTCACAGATCATCCAGAACCACATCAAGCGAGCTGCTAGCCTCGATAAAAGCCCTTCTTCCTTGCCCTCACGCACGCCCCCCAGTTCGGGGGGCACCCCCGTCTTGCAGTCCCCCAACACGTCCCTCCCTCGCTCGTCTCGACCCTCTCGCCTCAATACTCTCGACCTCGATGACACAGAAAATCTTAACCCTGATGAAGTCTACAAGTGAGTAAACTCTCATTTATTATGATACCTAAAACACAAGCAGACGTCAAATGCCCTTTTTAGCCAACATAGCCAAGTGCCATTAGAACATAATTTTTAGAATGATAAGTGGATAAAATTGTGACAACACTTCTGATGAATTTTGTAGTTGATGGAAATGTTAATTATGCATGGAAATGTTTACTTGTTCAGGAGTTTGAAACGCACCACGGATGAGATTAGGAATTACAGCTTCGAGCTCGAGATGAACAACGGCGCTAGCAGAGACAACTTGGAGAAGCATCGCGACTCCACCTCTCAGGTACAGCGTCAGGTGAAGACATTCCTTGTGAGTTATTTAATTCAAACTCTTAACAATGATGCCTAACAAACGTCTTTCTATCAATTATTACTACAAACCTCATTAACACCTCATGCTTTACTTATCTATTGTTATTCTTTTATCACCGCCTTTAATACGTTCCATCTAAATGTAACATTTTCTATACTTAAATTTCTCACTTTTTAAAGCTTCTATGATTCAGTAGACGCATAGATTTGGCAAAATTTACCTATATTTTTCTAACTTATTAGAAGTTTTCCCGCTTCCGCTTTGAATTCCGGTTGAACTGTTGCTTGTGTGCCTGCTTAGTGGTTCCGTCAAAGCTGCATTCCTCTTGTCTGAGCCAGTAAATGTTTTTTTCAAAATTTCATTTTCGTGAGTTCTTTGGTCAATTTGACTGTGTATGTTGAATGTAAAAGGTGGTCGAATTATTCCATGACTGCAAAAAACGACACCCGTTAATTCTTTCTTTTATAGTTAATTGCCTGTTTCTCCATTATTATCCTCCGAACCGTTCAACGCATTATTTATTCTACGGATGTCTTGCATTATCAATTTCTATTTATAATATACTGGTGTAGAGAACTCTAATTTCCATTAATTGATGTATTTATTTTATTTACATTGCCGTCCGTATTGCCCGTTTCACACGTTATAATGTCTTAAGTGTCATCACTTGCAGGATTCTGGCATCAGTCAGCTGTCAGCCGGCGGGACGGACCTCCGTAGTTTAGAACTGACGGACGTCGGAGGCTTCGCTGGAGTCGCTGATGGCGTCACGGGAGCGGCGCATGGGGCGGACGACAACCTCTCCGGCCGGTCCTCGAATGCTTCCTCCCCTCTCCACCGACCCTCTGTACCATCTTTTAGTAGCGCAGCAACTTCCCTCCCTCATATCCCTCTAGACGGCCCCCACCACCATAGGAATGGTTTACTTTCCTTCAACGATGATGAGGTCGACCATCTGGTTTTAGGTTAGTTTCAGTAATTACTTATTTTTATCAAGGAAAGAATGTAAAATAAAATTGTAAAAATATTATTTCATTTGATAAAACATTAAAAATATTAATGTTACATCAAGTTGATCAGAACGCCAATTATAATACATTTGATGATCATATATATTAAACGCCTGAATATGAAACGCTGACTTGCATGGAAGGTGAAGGCGAGAGCGACAGTGCGGCGATGGCGAGCGTGATTCAGGTGCTGCGTGTGGGAGGGGCCACCAGCCCCCCCGTGAGTCGTGTCGACGAGAGGAAGGCGGCACTCACTACCCTTGTTCGGCTCGCGCGCACAGGAAGCACCATCGTGTGGAACGATAACTTCAGATCCGTCCTCAGGTATGTCCTATGTCCTCGAGGCGTACTATCAAAACTTGTACAAATCAGTAGTACAAACTAACTTGTACCATCACGTAGCGACCGATTTCTCGTCTGCGATTGGCGAGTCAGCTTGATAAGCCGCCAGTGATTGGCTGACTGAGTTACAAACTTGCAACTATTTAATATAGCAGGGCTTTGCTTTCTAGACATTTTTCTACTCAAAAATTATGTCGTCAATGCTACTCGTTTCTGAAGGCCGCATGTTAACCAAAACTATCGGCAGTCCGTAAGAGGCGAAGCTAAAATTATCAATTGCTAGTAAACCAACTTATGATATAAAGAAGCTCATTGATTAAGTATCAACCTTTCCTACTATGGAAGTTAAAATCTGACGATATCCGTGAAGTTGTAAAAATATTAACGACCAAATCCCGCAAAGCATCGTGCAAGATGCGTAGTGATATCTTTTTCTATACATTATTTGCAATGAGCTGGACATGTATTATATGTGCTCACAAGGAGCTTTAAAAAACTTCATTATAGCCATTTTCATTATTACTCGTGTGTACCCTGGCTTTAGAAATTAAAGTGACCGCAACTTAAGTCGCAAAGTTTAACGTTAATATTAAGAAGAATTACATTAGCTTAATTTGTGCTTTTCAGGCTACTGGTGGAGAACTTGGAGTCCTCAATCGGTGGTGAGAGGGCGCTTGTGCTCACCGTACTTACTGAGATGATGCGGCGCTGTCCTTTGGTCAATCTATTCTTGAACTACTCAGAGCTCATCATCTTAAGAGTACTCAAAGCGCACGCCGACAAGGAGAAAGAAGTCATTAGAGCCGCTCAGGTAAGAATACATGTTTAAAATTTGTAAAATCTCATTTTTAATGTATGTAACGTGTGTTGGTTTTTTATATTTGCACTGACGTGCTTTTGTTATTCGTTTTTATGCCTAATCTTGTGACGCATGTCCGAGTTATTAATGTTTCGCCGTCCGCTCAACTGGCTTAGGTGTGTGCGGGCACTGTGGCTGAAATACTCCCTCCCGAAGTGGTGATCAGGGTGCTGAAGCCTCTCATTCAAATGGGCGAGTTTCCAGTGAATCAGTCCGCAATAAAAATGCTGAACAAACTCGTCGAGGCGCATCCACCGGCAATCGTCGCGCAGGCGTTGCCAGATATAATGCCGGGCCTAGTCAAGGTAAGAATTATCTCTTTCTTATTGGTAATACCTTGTTAGAATTATATTTTTTCCAAGTATACCGTGTTCCTAGTATATTAGAAGCTTCATTCATTTTCTATTTAATGGTACATAAATTTTACTGCAATTAGGTTCAGGAATATTTGTTACTTATTACTTTAAAAATATTCATTGGTAGCGTAAAAAATATCCTGCTTTTAATGCTAGTAGTGCGGCGGTGTTTAGTGATAATCCAATGACCAATTTTCCTATAGGCTTACGACAACAACGATTCAAGCGTGCGAAAGGCGAGTGTCTTTTGCATGGTTTCTCTTCACAACTGCGTGGGTGAACAAACTTTGAGACCACACTTGGAGTCGCTCACTGGATCAAAGCTGAAGCTTCTAAACTTGTACATCAAACGAGCCGACACTCAAAATTCAGGCGCGTCTTCACCAAAGTCAGAACCTCAAGTTTGAAGTTGTTGCTTGTTTACCTCGTGATTATATGTTGATGACGGAGACGTATACTCTTTGTTGTTATTATATCTCGATTCATCGCTCATCCTTGCTCTGTTCATAAGTCATTGGTTACCTGCTAATTTTGATAACTGTGGTGAGTGATGTTGGTGGCTCTTGCAAAAATTACCTGGCGGAGTTGAAGATGCATTTGGCATTTCGTGAAATTTCTGTATTGATCCGATGTCGTCTTAATTACACCGTGAGCACGAAACAATTTTTCATGAATTTAAAATACATTTATTTGATTGAAAGGTCTCTGTAGAATTGCAGAAATTAAATCAATTGAGTTGACGCACTTTTCTATGATAAGGTTATAGAATTGCGATCGATGTTTTGTCAACAAATGGAAAAGTTTGATTTATTTTTTTGTTACAGTAGAGATGTTAATTTCCTTAAGACGCGTTTTGGCTTTAATCTCCTGAGCGTCACGCTTGAAGCAGGACACGCTTTTCTTGCTTAGCAGGAAAAAAAATTAATTTTCGTTAACTTGCTTAGAGATTTGTTTCGCGTCTCATAGACTTGTATGATTATTTCTTTTGATTGTTAACAATAATTGTACGTTTTCCTACTTCCAAACTTGTAGTTATAAGCTGGGGTTGCCTTCTTGTCAGTTGTGTGTAGAAGAAAGTGTGGTAAGCGAGAATCTCGTGCAACGATTACAACCGCCTGGTTGCGTTCGTTCGCGCGTCTTTTCCCCAGGTGCTCAGCAAGCTATTGCTTCCCTGAAACGAGGTTGTGCTTAGTGAACTATTGACGTTATTCAATACATTTGTTCGAAGCTATTCATCTAATATTGAGATGTTTTGGCTGAAGGTCTTCGATCTTGGATTATTTTTCATAATTTTGGCCCCTCAGGGGGGACTTCTGACGCGTGTCTGTGCTCGTCAGAAGTCCTGTGGGATTTCGCGCTCCTACGGGAATTGTTCCTGAGCGCCCCACCGCTGAGCCCGCGGTGTCTGACTGCAGGCTTCAGTTGTGTGGTTAAGTTATTATGTAGGTAGGATTTACATTTCTCTTCTGTCTCTCTCGTGCGGGCGGCCGACGTCCCGTGTAAGCGACCTCTTGTTCGAGTGTCTTCGTTTCTGTTGCTTTTCACCTGTCCCTCCTTGTCACTTCGTCTCTTTAAGATGCTAACGCTGTTTCCTTTGAGCCAGCTTCAGCGGGCTGGATAATTGAGACCTTCCGCCCCTTGTGGGTGATGAAATTTTTTTGATTTAATAACTTTCAATAATTGAGACCATCCACCTCTTTGGTGATGTTCATCTTGACTTTCGGTGCGAGATGCAATAGATGAAGCGCTAGTAAACATTGGCCACTAAACTAACTAAACTGATGATTTGGTTATGCGACACCTCATGGTGAGTCATGCATAGAAAATTATATGAGAAAATTTCCACGCGCGAAAAACGAATTTGATTCTTTGTTTCTTCGATCTGCGAATTTGCCTCTGTTTGTATATGTTATGTACAGTGCCGTGTAGACTGTTGAGAAATAAATTCAATGATGCTTCAATAGCATGGTGATCACTTGCTCCTAAACGCTATGAACAATTGTCACGCTTTCATCTGCTAGGATTAGCTAGTCAACTTCCCTTTTAGGCTGAAACTCAACGGATTTCTCAATTGTCTCAATAATTTTATCACTACACAGATCTGTTTCCCTTCATCTTACTTGTACATATCTTAACTTCATTCCAAAGTCCTCCTATCCACTCATGCAATCAACTTGATTTTCTAGATTTTCTTATAAGTTCATTCCACAAGTGTTATTATCTTTGCTGCTAACCGTGTTCAGTGATGACATGAGTCGATATCTTCGTTATCATCGGCGCCTCGATCTTGTGGTCGTCTCTTAACGAATATTTGGCGAGGTGCAAAATGTGCTCGGTGTATATCCGGAAGAAAATGTAATATAATTCGTGTTCTAATGTAAATAACTAAATATGATGGTCATGGATTTTTACACCTATCACGTAAGCACATTTTATATTTCTATAGTAGTAACCATCTCATTATGACGATTAATGGATTTAGTTATTAACATGTTTTGAACGACGCGCTTGCTAAAGTTACTATCTAAGTGCAGTTCTAATAACTGAACTTACCGTTCTGCTACAGAAACAAAGCTAACACTTCACTGATCTTAAGCTGTTCTTATAGGCAGCTTTCTTATTATTGTACATATTTACATGTGCCAACGTAATTCATATCTGCTGAAGGAGCAAGCACTTCAGTGTTGCTATCAACTCATCGTGTTGGTCATTAGGGAACGAAGTAATCTATAAACAAGTCTGTAATTTAGGATGCCTTATAGTTCTCGCGAGCACATTTGTTGTAATAATAATGCCTTTATGCCTCGCTTCATTTTTCTACCCTTCGTACTATATTGTAAAATGTATCCATAATGTTCAATCACTTCTATGCTCATAGTTGCACAAATTTGGATTTAGTTCCGAGCTCTGTCGATAAAGCATAATAAAGGGCAGCTCGGGTCATTATCTTTGAATAAACTTTATTAGTGAAAATAACAAAAGAACGATATAAGTAATAAACAAAAATTCTCATTCCACTGGAGAGGGAAGTGATGAAGGCACAGCCCATGAAGCCCTAACACCAACCTCACTCAGGCTTATTAGCCAGAGCGCTGATGATGGTGCAGTAGATGTCGATGCCGCGTAGGAATATCTTCTCGTTGAGGAACTCGTTGTGGTCGTGCAGGAGAATCGGAGTGTGGTTCATGGGCGAGAAACCGAGAGCGGGTATCTTGAGCTGAGATCAGTGAGAATAAACAAGTAGAATAAAGTTAGCAAAAATCGCTCAAGTTCAGAAAGCAATTTTCCTCGTTAGAGTGTCAATACATTTACAATTTCATAAAATGTTAACACGTAGGTATCAGCTTTGAAACGAGTTACATGAAATCGGGTCACAATTTTTATTAGCAACGAATAAATTCAGTGACAATTGCAGGCGAAGCGATAACAGAAGCACGAACCTCTCGTAAGAAGCTGCTGTCGGTCGCAGCTGGAAAGATCGTCTTGACCAAATCCAATTTTCTAGCAAGAAAGAAAAAGAAAGAATCAACTCACCTCTCTGAGGAATCGACAGTCAGTGGCGGCCGGGAAGATTGTCTTCACCAAACTCAATCCTCTGCAAGAGCGAGGAGACCAACATGCATAAAGCTTGATGTAGCATTTCGTGTATTATACCATCTTTAATCCTGCATCGCAGAATGTCATTGCAACTTCAGTGAATTCGGAAGCACGAACTGAGTATCATTGTGTTCTATTTAGGAAGTGATGATAAAGCTGATCTCCGAACTACTTTAAGCGGAAATATGGCGACTTTTCTTTTCATTTTCTTTGATAAAGATTTATTGCTTTAGGGTACACACACAGTGAAAGCAGGTTGCCAGCGTGCTGGTTACCTGCTGAGGCTGGCGCCTGAAACAAGCGCGAGAGGTTCACAGAGGAAGCAGGTTGCCAGCGTGCTGGTTACCTGCTGAGGCTGGCGCCTGAAATCATAGAATACAGAAGCCTTTTCGCACAGGTTTTCACTGTGAACACTTACATTATTATCCTATGTTCATTCTTGTGGCAGGTTGGAGCAGGTTGCCCGCGCGGGCAAACCTGCTTCCACTGTGTGCGCACCCCAACTTGGGACATAAGCATAAACTCGACACTCATGACGAGAAGCCTAGCACGCTAGTCTCGGTCAAAAGTTTAATGTACTCACTCTTCTTTGCACGCTCCATTAAACGCATCCCACCAGGAGCACTTCCCGTCTTCCACGCAGGTTATGTCTTGATTCATCATCTGCATCATAAAATATCGAAGAAAATAATGTAGAAACATACAAGTTCGTTTAAATACCGAAGAATGCTTTTTTCATCATTTTCAGGAAATCGAACAATTATTAGGATGACGTTGGTAGATCTTGAAGGCAGATTTCAGAAGATAATTTTAAAAATATTAACGAAGTTTCGAATGCAACAACATATTTCATAGTTATAAAAATCATCGAATAATGAAAGTTTGCTTGACATACGTACATAATACACGTAAACAAGATACAACCCAGAAATTGGAACCAGAAAATTACTTTGAAGTCAATCTAAAATGTCTGATAAATTCGGTAGATTGATTATATTTATACGTATATTGATTGAATATAAAATAGATTATACACATTGCTTCTCTCTATCATGGTGATAATGGCAAGTAAGGAATTCACGATTTGAATGTCGTGATAATGCATCAATAGTAATTTCACGAGTTATTAGCGCATTTTCTCATTTATGGAAAAAATGCACTATTGTGCTCGCCATGTCCGTCTGTCCGTCTGTGTGTCTGTCCGTCCGTCTGTCCGTCCGTCCGTGACCTCAAGTTTTCGTCGACGAGAAAATGCGCTTTCTGTCACTCACTGCAGTGAGTACTGAGTTTTATTTTTTTATCTTTACCCCTCAGACAGGATGTATATAATGCACTCTTATTCATATTACCAATGCAATTAAGAACACGAAATATTTGAAATAACATAAATGCGTCACACAAATCACGCAATTCTGGACAACTTCGCAAGCACTTACCTTCTGCTTGAACTCAAACGTGACGTCATCGCCCGCCTCCTTGCACCAGGCCGCAATTTTTCCCACGAACTCCGTGAGGTCAACAGTGGGGGGGATGCGGATGTCGAAGCCCACACTCAGCTCGGCAGGCACCACGTTGAACTGCACTCCTCCCTTCAACAGACACTTTGTTAACTCTTTGATTGTATATACATCGCAAGTCATTAATGTTATCCTAGCATATACACCGAAAGTCATTATTGCTATCCGTACCTATAGGTCTGCTAATTAGTGTTACCCTCAGCAGGAAAAGGGTTAGCCTTATGTCTGCGGATATATGAACCATCATTAATGATATTCGCAGGTTAAAGACTAGTAACGAGAGTTACCGTCAGTACATAAAAGGTTAACTAGAGATGACTGACCTGAAGCATGGTGAGGTTTACAGATGTAACATCGCCCAACTGCAGATCGGGATTCTGGAGCAGCTTCTGCTCCTGTTCGTTGCGGAAAGCTAGGAATGAATTGATCATTTTTCGCAGCTTCTCCCCCGCGGTTTTCTTGAGGAACTGGGAGCCGTGACCGGGCTGACCACGGCAGTGTACCATCACCCCTGCCAGGAACGCGAAGAAATTCCTTGCAAGCTCGCATTTGCTTTGATAAAACTCGATAAAAAATATCTAAAACACACTAGAAATGTACGTTTCTGCAATTACAAATTCACCTTCCAGGGGCTCCCGATAGATTACATAATCTAGAAATTAGTTCTTCAGCCATATCTGTTCATGACGACAACGGTCGGAGAGTTCTTATACTCACACCACACAGTTCGCTCAGCGTAGAACAAACTGAACTTCTCTGAAGGATTAGCGTAGCCTTCGTCGAGCGCGAAACCAACGTTAAGTTCTTCAAACTCGGGCATCTTGACGAACTCTTTCATGCCGAGGACCCCTCCGATCTCCTCCTCTGGTTAATGAATAAAACTACACAATCATGAAGACTGAACAAATTTCACATCAATATAATTTGTATTTGGCATTACGCGTCACTTAAACAAGTAAAAAGTTAACAGGTTAATGAAATTCAGGCCTAGGTCAACGCTAATTCTTTAAATGTCATCTCAAAATCTCTAACGCACTCGAAGAATACGAAGAAGAGTCGATGAGGAGTCCTTAGAAGTTCCGATGGCAAAGGTCATTGAGTACAAAATTGGTTTGAAGTTCAACTGATGATTTAATGTCGATGACAATTCCATGTCTCACCAGGTACAAAGGACAGGTGGATGGTCCTGAGGAAAGTCTTGCCCTGCTTCCTCATCCTGTTGATGGCCTCGAGGTATTGAGCGCCAACGCACTTCATGTCCTGCGTGCCGCGTCCGTAGATGTCGCCGTTCTCGTCCTTCGTCGCGCTAAATGGGTCGTACTTCCAGTGCTCCTACGTGGCAATTATGTACGAAAAATGAATGAAAAAAACGAGATAAATTATTAAGCAAGAGGGATGACAACAATTTCCAGAGATCGCATTTCCAGCAATTATGAAGAACGAGGAACATGGGATAAAAGTTATCTACTAACTAAAAATAAGTTTTAGGTCAAGTAAAATGATAAATAATATAAATGAGCTATGAACGGGACTTCTCATGCTTGGGAATACAGATTTAAATTCGTAGTTTTTTCTGTTGATTAGGCTTAGTTTTGGGCAAAAAATCATAAATTTGCATTTAATTCAAAATCGGAATGAGAATTATAGTTGAATTCTATGTTCAAGGTGAATTTGAAATGTGCATTATATTATTAAAATTACTCGATATAAAATTTAGTTTTGCTTGTTAGAAACTGTCATCAGGATTCGGAAGTGCGGGTTTCTCACGGTTGAATCAATATATTAATTCAACCATGGGTTTACTGAACTAAGCAAGACGCTCACAGGGAAGACGGGCACGACGTCTGTGTGCGAGTTGAGCAGCAGTGAGGGCAAGCGAGGGTCGGTGCCCTTGAAGGTGATGAGGACCACAGGCTTGCCGGGAGCGCTTTCTACCACCCTCACTTCTCCCCCCACAGCCTCCCCTCTGGCTTTGAGCCAGGCCGTGCACTTCTCTGCATGTATAACGTTTTAACAATAACTAAAATATCAGTAAAAAAATATCTAGTTATTATTAAATCAGCATTAAAAACGAGCAGAATTTACGTATATGAATTCTATAAGCTTCATTGTTAATTATATAGAAACACAAACTGAGAATTAGAGCGTAAATGAAATAATAAGTGCTGAGTTGTTGCAAAGCAAGAGCCTCTGGACTGGATGTCTCACCGTAGTCAGGGTTGGGCTGCATCGTGTTTATTCTGATGTACTCCCTGAACCTCGTCACTGCAGGGTCTTCATTTTCTGCCATTTTCTACGATGTTGCTGAAGGATCAAAATCAAACACCTAAACCTGTCGATTAACTTAAAAATTGTCATTCTAAGCGTGATAATAAAATACAGGCATCGACGCATGCACTCGAAGTTTGTACTGTTAACAACTAACTGAACCCCTTAGTTTCAAGTGACCCAGCAAACGTAGTAGTTTCATATTGTACTTTATGACCAATAAAAAAGACTATTTCCCCTGCAGGCGATGAAACGTTGCATGTTCCATGCAGATATCGCGAAGCGGCCAAAACGATTCAATGACGAACATGCAGAGGTGGGCAGTAGCGCGCTACATGTAGCGGCCGCTACATTTTCAGTAGCGGTAGCGGCGCTACATTTAAGCAATTGTAGCGGTAGCGCCCGCTACATTTAGAGCATGTAGCGGTAGTGGTCGCTACATTTTAAAGTAGCGCTGCCCAGCTCTGCGAACATGCAACGAAACCCAAACGAGATGCTGGTGTTGGGTTCACATCTAGTCAAAATCAACAGCAAAGTTTGTGAACGTCGTGTTTTCTGCACCGCAATTTTATTGTCGAATCTTTATTGTCAATGTCCACACGTCTCGAAACAATTCTTGGAGTTTCATCTTGTGTAACACTCAGTGACATTTCAGTGCAAGATCAATTTATGAGTGAATTTTTCCCATGAACTCGCACTACATCACAAAATGTAACAATCATTCCCAAATTTATTGTCCTTTAATCACTTACGACATGTGCCTAAGTAAAAGTCACAATATCACTTCCATTACCCTGAAAAGTTATAAATTACCCCAGTTGGTATTTCAGCTGCAGTCTACAGACTTGTGGCAACATTTCCTAGCGCTATTATACAGGGCATCAGCCGCCTGCCTCTGCAAAACCATTCGATAACTCATCTCTGGCAAAATGGTTCTGGGGGGTCAGCGAGCCAGAGATGGTAGTGGAACTACCAGTGGCATTAGTTAACGGAAAAACTGACCTATCATGGGATGGGCAATTACACACACATAACTCATCTCTGCGAGCCTTAATTGTTGCATGTTACTAGCGGTCTTGTCAAGAATCGGCAACAGGCCATGGGCCTAGTTCTTCAACGCCGACACTTCTATTCTATTCTATTGTATTGTCAACTATGATACTTTGAACATAGAGTCTGGTAAACATAAAGAGTTAATAACGAATGAATAATTCTTGCGAAATAAATACCTAGACATCCAACTGACAACGTTTGTTGTGAATGTTTGTAATGCAAAAATATAATCATAAGGATTACTATGAAGATTGAATGTATGCTAGCTCGGTAGCGTTTCCTGACACCGCGCACGGTATGCACGTCCATTTTATTCAGTACATTAGTATTACAAAAACGAGCATCTCGTAACTTGACCTCGTGATGTAAGATTTATCCAATTAGACTGGAAAGGAATACGTGCGAGAATTGAACCTTACAGACATTAGGGGTAAGTAGCAAGCTTTGGCGTTGCTCAGAAGCAGGGGTAACCCAAGGAACGCTTGGTCTCCTTTAGACGTCGTGTAACGCCTCCCGAAGGTCATGTTAACTAAGTAAGACCAGTGAGCTTCAGCCCAGCAATATGGAAGAGATAGATCAAGCTCTAACATTTCTTTACAGTCGAGACAGTCACAATTATTACGTACGTACAACGAATACGTGTTGTACGATACTGCCGACGTTTCTTTGGACTTCGCTTTGCAAGACGAATACATTTTTTCAATAGAAAGACTAGAAGAAATCTTTTTGTAAAGAAAGGACAGATTATATGCACTATAGCATAAAATCAAAAATATAAAGGGGGTTCAAATTCAGTCGTACGAGAATTCAGTTTATACAAAATACACACACTGCGTGGCTACACAAGATTGTCCTGCGTGATATACAGCTTTGTTTGCAATGCAACTGAATACGTTCTGCTTATCAATGATTTGCTTACAAAAAAAATTCTACGGATGAATTTAACTTGACTATATACGAAGTGTAACAACGGCCAGCACGAAGAACTGAGGCGTAAATACAAGTAGTAACAAGTGCATGGAAGTGATTTCATTTTCGATATCGCATATAAATAGATATAAATGACTTACTCTTGCTATATTCTTTATTATGATAGATATGAAAACAAATGAAGTGAATATATTAATTATATAAATTATATAAATATATACATACATGGTTGGAATTCAACACAGTCGCAAAAAAATGAATAAAAAAACATGTAGATAAATATGGCGAGGCTGATGACTTTTTCAATTATTCATCGAAGCTTATAGAAGTAAAAAGATTAATTTAATCGGATATAATTTGTTATGATGTTAATAGTTTTATTGACTTCTTCCATGAGAACAAATAACAAAGTACATGCCTTTGAAAAATACATGAGGTGCGTCGGAACGGCAGCACGACACACCACACAAGCCATGCTAACAACACATGGAGCATATGGAGAGCTAAATAACATAAGGCACTCTCAATATCACAGTCCTGAACCACGCAATTTATATACAAGCGCGCAGTGTCAGGTGACTTCACTAATAAATACCGTACAATCCGTGAGCACCTTTGTCGGTGTCATCTTATGGAGTGCCAATTAACGGACGGGATGTCAAGTGTTAAGGAACTGATGAAACATTGACCTGACAGGTGGACGTCAGTTCTAAGGAACTCGCGCCTGTGATAAGGAGAGTTAGTTGTGAGGAACCCAAATCAAATGCTAAATTCAGTTAAGGAAGAAAGCTAAACAATGCGCTTTATTCCAATCACTTTGACTGAAGTAATTACTGGATTAAAATGGATTTTTTGTAACGCGGTCCCTCATTAACAAAAGTTTTAGCACCGTCAAAAAGTTAATCGAGCATCGTGTATAAGAGAAAATAAAACCATGTACTTATAAGGTTGCTGTCGTCACAAGATGAAATGAAAATACACAAAATACTAAGATAGAAGTTCAATCATAAAGAAATGCGTTGCGAGCAAGCGATCTGCTGTAAAACGAGCACACCACCGCACTGTTTTAGCGGTCGAGACGCGCAGGAATGACGTGAAAATAATAAGGAATTGTAGAAAATTGGATTCTTCGGTAGAACATAGTTGAATCGAACTGTAATATTGTGTAGTACTCAGCTATTTGTTGATATTTTGGCACATGAAATGTTCGATAACAAAGTCAAATTACTTAACTACTTCAAATACCTCGTGATGGCAAACAGATGGGTTAGGTCTATAGAAGGAGGTCTATGATATAATATCTATTATATATATATAATAGTTATTATATAATCGACAATTTGTGGTCGCAGTGAGGCATTGACAATAAGATATCCCACATTCATTCCTTCCTCCAATGAGATCACCGAACCACTACACCAGTCTAAACAACAGTAATAACTAATTTAGATAAATAAATTAGCACAATAAAAGTTCAAATAATAAAAAGCGCTATTATATACGAGCGAAAATAGTCAATATATAGAATTTCAGCTCATAAAAATAAGAAAAAGCTTCTACGAGAAAACCATTATTTTTGAGACTTTGTAAAGCAAAGTCGACCGCAGGTAAATAACCTGCTCAGCATCACAAAATTTTAAAGCGTCTGAAGAGAAATAAATTAGAATATTTTCTAAATAAAGATAATATAAATGAATATAATAGGCTTTGTTCGGGAATGTTGAGCATCGCAGATAATAGAAGATTCATATAACAACGCGAATAAATACTTATATTAGATACTGACGCATACAAAGTCAGCAAGGGCTCGGCGCCAGCAATACGAGCAATAGATAACTTCTGGTAGAAATATTCATCAATATCAGAAAAATGATAAAGCCAAACTATTCTAAATAAAAGATATCTAGAGAGACTCAAATAATACATTAACACAATAATACGTCGTTGATAAGAAGGTGTTTTGCGCAACACATTTGATATAGAAGTTTTGATCAGGCAATTACTTACGAAGGTTAAACAAATAAATGAACGAAGCATTCCGAGTAGCCAAGAAACACAAGACGAACGCCAAATAATTGACACTTATTCTGCAAACATTTAGCCGAGCTAGCATACCTCATCAGATTAAAATTTACTGGTATGCTTTTACGACATAAACAATGTGCAGTTCAGGTAGGAATAAAATTACTATAAATTGATCATTAATTTTTCTTGAGTATTTTGAAAATTAATTTTCGTTTACTTATTTTATCTTTAAGCCCTGCTTCCATTTCGCATTTGAGGACATTTATCATTATTCAGACGTATTCCATATCAATACTATTAATTGATATCATGGCCACATCACGAGAAATGTGAAATAGGATAACGAGAGACCTTGAAAGAGGATCACAGAAAATGTGTAAGGATCAGAGGAGATGTGAAAGGATCAGAGGAGATCTGAAAGAGGGTCGCTGAAAGGTTGCTTGTGCTCGTGAGATGGCGCGGTCGCTGGACTGGGGAAGCTCTTGGCCGCGGGTGCCGCCGCGTCTTGCAGGGCTGCTGTGGTACTGACGGGAGGAGGAGCTCCGCCTAACATGAATAAAACAACTTTATTTTACTCTACTGAATAATTTTACTACGTAATAATTTAGGTGGGATTTTACTTATGCAGTCCGAGAGATTCCAAAGGGGTTAAAGATCTCGCTACAGGAACTTCGACAAACACACAATACAAAGATAGAGGCAAGGAAGCAATCGTGAAAAATGAACAATTGTTTAAGTTCAAAATTGACCAGATAAAAAGATTCAAATGAGTTATTTGTATAACAGACAATAATGATGCTAGTTAATGAAATGACGAGGTGGAAATAGACTCACTCACCGCTAAACAAATCGTCATCATCATCGTCAGCGAACAGGGACGTGCGATGAGTTGTCACAGGTTGTTTATTTAAAGTTATGGGTGGTAAGGGAGCTGCAGTCGAATTAACCACAGAGGCTGGCGTAATTTCTTTATTCCCTAGCACATGTACGACGTTACTACCTGCAGGGTGCATCTTGGGCTGAGCGCCACTGAACAGATCGTCCGAGTCGGAACTCGACAATAGCGACGAGTTTTGTTTGTTCAGGGACGGGACGACGGGCTGCGTAGTGCTTTCTTTAGCAGGGCCTTTGCCACTCAACCCAGGAACTGCACGCGATTCATCAAGACGAGCTGTTCTCGAACTTATTACTTTAGGAGCTGGAAGATGGAATGTGAAATCCTCGTCTTCAGAAGAAGCAAACAAAGCTTCCTTAGAGCTCGCGAGTACAGGTTTGTTTTGAGTTGCTTCACTGTCACGGTCATCGGGACCATCGCTCGTCTTCGGGGAATTTGCTTCGCTTTTAAGACTTGACACGCCGCTGTCACCACCGCTGCTGGCGGTCGCTGGGTCTGATGCAGTCGATGGGGGACTATTATTAGGATTATTATTAGAAATGTCTTTGTGGTCACCCTCTGTAGAGAACACACGCTGTTTGGCTTCTAAAACTTGATTCGGCTCAAGTGCTTGGCTGGAAGAAGCTTCGCTGGACATAGCATGGCTGGCGATGGCTTGGCTGGGGTTGCCGAAAAGCTGGTCGGAATCGGAAGAAATTGAGGTTGAGGTTGGGCCTCGACTTCTTCTGGACGGCGGCCGCTTGCGGTTCATGCGAGGACGTTCCTGACATGATGGAAAGCACAACAGAAATTAAAGACTTCACCATTCAATGTATGTAATATATGTATATTAAGTTGTTCACTCTTCTACCGAGGCATTGTGATGTGCACAGTAACGATGGCGCAAGAAAGCTCAAGTAAAAACGTACGGTCAATCAAAAGATTGAATAAATGACAAAGGTAACACTAACCTTATTGAGGCTCGTGAGCGCATCAATGGACGCAGGCTCGTCGAAAGAAGAAGCGGACTCTGCTGCGGGTTGCAGACCAGCCCGGGGCGTCGCAGCGAAGAGTCCTTGCGACGCCAGGAAGCGTTTAGTGGGAGACGCTGAGGCAACGCCAGCCTTGGTTGCTCTCGCTGAACTCACAGGGACGCTGTGTTCCTCTTCGCTTGAAGGCGAAGCAGCAACCTGAGGAGAGATGCTCTCTTCCTCAGACTCGGACATTTTATTTTGTCGTTTCCGGAGTTTAGCGAACAGTTCCGCTCCGCCATCTTGATTCCCAAACAAAGAAACAGCTCCCGGTGGACGCTTACGCACCGTGGATGCCATATGATTAACTGGGACAGCTGATGGGTTAACTGGGGCAGCTGATGGGCTAAGTGGGACAGCTGGAGGGCTAACTGGGACAGCTGGAGGGCTAACTGGGACAGCTGGAGGGCTAACAGGGACAGCTGGAGGGCTAACTGGGACAGCTGGAGGGCTAACTGGGACAGCTGGCGGGCTAACAGGGCCATTCGAGGAGCCCACAGGGCCAGCAGAAGACCTGACCGAAGACAAACCAGGCATGTGTTGTTCTGCTCCAGGAGGCTGAGATGAGGCAGGGCGAAGCTCCGAAATTTGAGGCGGGGAAGAACTCGTGCTTGAGGAAGCTTCAGCAGCATCCAAGTTCTGTCTCCTTCTGTTAACTCTTGCAAGAAGCTCCGACCCTCCGAAAAGAGCAACGCCGCCCACAGGACGTTTCTTCTGAGGTGACGAAGAGCTACTAACGTCCTCTGATGACGCACTTGCATCGAGTTCGTCTGTTTGTTCTGAATGGTTTTTTATACCGTCGATGGGTTCCTGCCGATTGGTAACAGAAGGATCATGTCTAATATCGGACTGGTCAGTTCCAAGCATTTTATTGCTGCCTTGGAAGTTGATTCCCGTCGAAGTTGAGTGGAAAGTGTCTTCCTTGCTTCTTTCAGGCAGGATCAAACTCTCATCCCCAATTTTAAATGGAGGTTTAACGTCTTGTTTGCTTACTGCAGGTGAAGTAGAAGAAACGTCTTGCCTGGCTGCTGGAACTACTTCACCAGACAACGATGATCTAAGGTCTTTTTCATGCGTCGCGTTTTCCAAGCCTGAGGTAGGTGTCTCTGGAGACTTAACTGATGATGCCCTATCTACACTGGCAAAAAGATCGTCATCGTCCGACGGAGTAAAATTACTTAAGGTTGTAATCTGAGACAGCCCGCTTCTACCGAGAGCAGTCGACGGTACATCGGCGAATAGGTCATCTCCATCAGAAGAAGGAAGCCTCTGTGGGGTCTCTGAGCCAAGATTCGCAGACATGGCTGGATCATTTTGAGTAGAATCAAACGAAATCTCAGGTTGCGGAACAGAAACTCTGTTTCTATGAGTGTTGCTAAGTGCAGGTCCTTCACCAGTGATGCCTATTACGTTGGGTATTGATGGGAATATTTCTTCGTCACTTGAGCGCGCTGCAAAAACAGACGCATTTCGCGGAGTCGCTAGCGATGAACGATTTGGCAGGAATTCATCGTCACTTGAACTGCAGACCATACCGAGAGTCGTCGCGGGGGCTGCGGCAGGATTGGACGCCGCTGGGATAATAATGACGGGAGCCTCTTTGACTGGCGGTGACGCAGTAGCTGGAGGCTTGGGCATTTCTGAATTAATAGGCTCCTTTACTGCCTCAGAAACGTTAATGCTGTTAGGACCTGATTGATGTAAATTACTAACTCTGGTTTCAGACGATTGTACGTTTTTTGTCTCGGAATGAATCTCCTGCCGAGGAGCTGGAGAAGCAAGAGCGCTGCTCGAGACTGTGGGCTTCACAGCTGCGGAAAAGAGGTCGTCGTCGCTTTCGGAGCTAAAGAGACCGCCAGACTTCATCACATTGGGTTCATCATTCAATTTTGGACGCTCTTTGATAGAGCCTGTTTTCTTTGAATCAGATTTAATTACAGGACTTTTCAGAGGAGGTAAATTTGTGACTCGTGCAGGTTTCGAAGGAGCGTGAGGCTCAGGAACCGAAACAAGAGAGCTCGCGATTTTGTGAGTGGACGATTGAGCTACTGTAACAGGCTGAGGCTGAACACCAGCAGCTCTGACTGACGTACTAAACAGGTCGTCATCGTCGGACGTATCCGGCGCGGCAGTCCTGGTGGAAGTTACCGGGAACCCAGGGCGAGATGGAGGAGCCTGCGATAAATCTGGGGGTAGAGTCTCACTTTTGACTTCAGGAGCCGGGGTCACTGGAGGTGCCGGGGTCACTTGAGGAGCCGAGGCCGCTGCAGGAGCACGAGGTTGGGTAGTAAGTGCGCTGGCGATAGGATCATCCTCATCGCTCGAAAAGAGACTGCCTCCGAATGTTTTAGGGGCCGTTTGCTGAGCGGCTCTCTGTTGAGTCATCACAGGGACACGACTGCTGTCCACAGGCTCTGATGAAGCTGTTGGCGCATCACTGTTGGGATGTTTGGATGCTGTGCTCAATATTCCAGGCGGGTGTCCGAAAAGATCATCGTCTTCATCGTCGTCGTCGAATAATCCAAGTCCAGTGGGTTGAGCCGCGGCACTGCTAGGAATTGACGGTGCATTGATCGTGTGGCTTGGAAGCAAAGACGGCTGATGGACAGTAGGAGTGACGAAGCTACTGGCGGGTCTTTGAGGTTCTGAGCTCTTCTGGTTGGACCGTGCCAATCCATTACTTTTTGATGGGTTTTGGAGTTCTGACGAGTTGGCCGGCGTTGGTTGAGCAGAAGTCGCAACTGAGGCCCTCGCTTGAGGAAGAGTTACTCCTGCAGGGCCCCGAGAAGGGCTTTTAGGTTCGTTGATGGCTGCAGTGACAGCGGAGTTGAAGATGTTCACTCCACCAGCAGGAACCTTAAACAAATTAGATTTAGTTTACACGAAGCTATATCGCAAAGAATAAATTCACAAGCACAACAGTAAGTGATCTGTACTTAGTTCTTGCGACAATCCATAGACATTGCAGCTTTATCTAGACGAAAAAAGGGGTGAGCAAAACATTATGCAGAATAAATTGACTGATACAACGTATGTTATAAAATCAGAACCTTACCTTCTTCCCAGAGGCGGTGAGGATACTGGTAGGTGTGTTGGTCGCCTCTCTCGCATCTAAGGGCAAAAATATCCATAAAATATCACACACATTGCCATCTTACCAACAGCATTAAACAAATTTAAACCAGGAACATAAATAATAACTTAGAGCACGGTAAGCATTTCACACTTTTCACACATCCGGGCAACAAACACACCGTTTAAATTTCACTGGCTAGAACATTACCTATTACAGATAACAGAGCAGCGTAGGACCTACGTCTGCGTCTCCCTGAGACAGGGGCGTGAGGCCTCTCAGTGAGCCAAATGCGGTCTGTAGGCTGAAAGTTGGTGCCAGCAGTCACAAGACATTCTTTAGAGCTAATACATCGAAAATACAGTTTGGTTCAAACCTCTTATGATGGGAGGAGGTCTGCCGAAGAGGTCACCATCTTCAGAGTCGCTCGCAAAAAGTTCAGTTTGTGGTGGAGGAGCTGGTGCTGGAACCGGTGGTGTCGGGACGGCGTTTTCTACACTCGTGGAGCTCCCGTCTGAATTAAGCAGTAGTACCAAAAATTTAGGAACAGATCAAATTAGAGCTCAAGAAACAAAGCGGATTAACCAATTCATCACACAAACACGCAATAAAATCACCGGTAATATGATTGTAGCACGACACGACTCGTCAGGCTTGGGATCGTGCATATCAACAACGTGCAGGTCCGCGTTTTCAACAGAGAATATATCCCGCAAATATTGCACGGTCTACCGTATGCCAGACTGGTCACTAATAATAAAGAACAGGATATCTCTGTGCCTTATTGTTAGTATTACAACTATTATTATTATGATACAGGTACCCACCAGGGGAGGGGATGGAAGCACGGCTGGAGGGGGGCAAGGGTCGAGGCAGGGGGGGAGGCCGCCGGCGCCCAACGCTGAAGAGACCGTCATCTTCTGAGTCACTCGATGACGCCACGACTGTAACACGTTTGTATATTTCATACTTCCCAGCAGTAATCATTAAATATCTAGGATAAGTTATACGTTTTACGGTGGGACTGGAAGGTTACATAAAGTTAAGTTAAAAGATACAACGGGCACAGCTAACGTGAATCTGATACGACGTGTTATTGCTACGAAAGCACATGTGCTTTCTTCGCAATAACATACAATAACAATGATATGACAAGACGATCGCTGGCATACACTCGAGGAGGAGTGTCATTACTGCCTGGTTTTCTGTAGTGTATTTCGACGCTGCTTGAGTGGCAGATGTGGCTCCAACAATAGTCATGAAGCGACTACTATTAAGGTATGCATTTACCCCTTGACCGTATTTATTACGTCATCGCTTGCAGTCATGTTGACGCTTCTGCTTGCCTCACCTCAGCAGCAGCAACAGCAGCAGCAGCAACACTGACCTGGCCTTGGTGCAGCAGCTGCAGCAGGAGCAGCATTTCTGGCAGCGCGACCAAATATCTGCACATCAAAGTAAAGCAGCTAATATTTGGTGAATGGATTAAAATAGACATCAATGAGAGGGTTAACATACAGATTATTAAAACTAGAAAACTCTGCACTGCAACAATGTCTGGCCTGGTGGGAACAACACGTTGGTTGCTACTGTAGCCTGAGTGGATTGTTAATAAACGCCGGGATGATCATGAGACAAATATGTAAAGTGAACACAAGAAATTAAAGCGAGAAATTCCTACGTTCATATGCGTGTGCAAGCGAGGCACTCACACATCTGAGGAGCCACCAGAGTATACCAGCGCCTCCTCCGAGGCCTGCAAACCAGGGCCACATCTCTGGCCGAGACTTGTTGCGTTAAGAACAATCCGTAGTGTTGCGTTATACGCCAGCGACGCAGTTAACTGTTATCTTAATAGTTATCTGGTACACACTAGTATGCAATTGCAGTGAACTGTTATAATAGGTAATATTAGGTACAGTAGTACATAATATGTAGAACTAATTGTTTTGCACGTTTTTCAAATGCGTTAATGAGTTTATAAAATGCGTATCACACTTCACAAAGTTTATTTCTCTAGTAACAGAAGATGGCGATTTTTCGTTAAATTACTTAGATCGTTAGTGCATTATATTGACACAAGCGACACAAGCGCGATTCTTAGTTAATATCTTGCATTTTAGTAAGAAATACATTTCCGGTTCCACTCTCAGCAGTGTTTTCTTTCTTGATTTTCAGAGAGATAAGACAGAGCGATGCACACCGCAGCGCGCACACTGAAGGCTCAGGCAGGACACTGACCAACTCAGGACTTTCCCTGCGGTCGTCGGATGTAGGGTGAGTCGTGAGATGGTCTCCACTCCCTAATTTAGGGTGAGTCGTGAGATGGTCTCCACTCCCTAATTTAGGGTGAGTCGTGAGCTGGTCTCCGCTCCCTAATTTAGGGTGAGTCGTGAGCTGGTCTCCACTCCCTAATTTAGGGTGAGTCGTGAGATGGTCTCCGCTCCCTAATTTAGGGTGAGTCGTGAGCTGGTCTCCACTCCCTAATTTAGGGCGAGTCGTGAGATGGTTTCCACTCCCTAATTCAGGGTCTGTCTCTTATACACATCTAGATGTGTATAAGAGACAGTCCTGGAGCTGTTCGACGGGATTGCTTCAGCATACCTTTGACCTCGGTCATGGTGATAGGGTCATTATACGTTTGGGTGTCGCTTGTTGAGAAATCCAGGGGGTGTGCCTCCATTCTGTCGCGGTGCTGGCGAAAGGCTGGCGTGTGACGGTCCCGGCTACTCACCGAAGCGAANTAGCGCACGGGCGCAGGCAACCATAGCGCACGGGCGCAGGCAACCATAGCGCACGGGCGCAGGAAACCATAGCGCACGGGCGCAGGCAACCATAGCGCACGGGCGCAGGCAACCATAGCGCACGGGCGCAGGCAACGTAGCGCACGGGCGCAGGTAACCATAGCGCACGGGCGCAGGCGCAACCACAGCGCACAGACGAACCTGGCGCAGGCAACCATTGCACACAGGCGCACCCGGCGCCGGCTACCATTGCGCACAGGCGCACCCGGCGCCGGCAACCATTGCGCACAGGCGCACCCGGCGCCGGCAACCATTGCGCACAGGCGCACCCGGCGCCGGCAACCATTGCGCACAGGCGCAGGAAACCATTACGCCAGGGCGCACTCAATCATGGGCGTCGTGTCACGCGCCGGAAAGAACGAGCCCTGAAGAACACATAATTCGAAGGAGACAGACGAATCCTCATGAAAAAAAAACAGACAAGCTCAAGCCACCTCCAGGAATTTGGAGAGGCGAAGACTGGTGCGCTTTAGTGAGGAAACTAGACGACAGCTGCAGGCCTCGCATGAAACTGAGAAGCAAGAGCAGGCAGAGCGGTGGTTTCTACAGTTGCTCCCTCAGCATCATCACCAAACTTTGGCCAAATAGGAGGAATTTGCCGGCGTTGAAGAGGTGTATTTTGATTTTTCTAAAACTGTTGACAAAGTTGACCATGAATTGCCCAAATGTAGACTACAGCCGGAGTGTTTGGCGGGGATTCACACCTTCCTAACCAACATGTTACAAGCTGCCGTTGGAGGCCTGTTCTCAAGTATGACGAGGGTGAAGAGTGAGTTGCCGCAAGGAACGGTGCTTAGACCGATCTCTTTCTTCATCTCCGATATGACATGGAACTAAGTCAAAGATTTACATCATTTGAGAATGAGAAATGATTGATCGCTGATAGAAATTGCCGTTTAAAACATAAAAGTGGGCCCCAATTGATGAAAAATGCCATTAACTTCACACAGCATCAAGTAATGAGAAGAGCTTATTGCGTTTCTCTCGAACCCTCGTGTAACCAATCTTCTTTGTGCTGCTGTCAGTTGATGGCTCTGCACGGGGCAGCTGCATTACGGCAATCGTGAGCAATTCAGCACAGGTTCATGGCAAGGCTCAGCAGGATGCGGAAACCAAACTCTGTCCATCAGCAAGTAGCATGCCACCACAGTCGTGCATGGCAGCAGCGTGCGCACGTATGGCGGCAACTGGCGAGCATGATACGCGATGTACCAAGACGCATAAAAATTTCTAGCATACCGTAAGGCATAAGCCATCAACTATTTTCAATAAATAGTAAAAACTCACAGCAGCAGGCGTGGCAACCGAGACCGGTTTGAAGAACTCGTCCTCTTCGCTATCAGGGGGCGGAGGCCCTCTGTTTTGAGGTACGGAAGAGCTCGACGCAGGGTTCGGGGGATGTCCCGCGAAGGGGCCAATAAGAGATGTCCTTGAAAAGCCATTACTCAGAGACTGCTGGTCCCGTAACTTTGGTTCTGTACTCTCAATCTCCTCTTCGGTGTCGCTCGCTTCCTGGGGGGGGGGGGGGGGGGGGGGAAACCACAGGTATCTCTATAAGTAAAATGTTACCAATTTGCAGCAGGTTGTTCATTACTAAATATCATCACTTGCATGCACAAAGAAATTTCCATGAATAGCTCGGAGGTAATTTATCCTTATTTCCTCTATTACACAGATTATCGAAACGCAAGACACATTGAATTCAAAGGTATACACATGTCCATTGGACATACATGAATGGACATGTACATACAGATATGTACATTTGAATATGAAGCTTTGAATATGAATTATATGATCAAGTGCCAGGAACTTCACCGTCATAAACAACTTCATGTAGCAGCACAAGAGTAATACATATTTTGTAATATTACATATAAAGGCTAAAAAATTTATTATCAAGTACCGGTAGTCATTATCACAACAATTAGACTTTTTCAATAGTAACAACAGTAAACAAAAAAAATAAATTCTAATGCACCAATAACTTGATTGCCGCAAATGTAGGTACATCTCAGTGGGCGATACTGTCAGTTTTGCCAACTGTATTCAAGTATCTTCAAATAGCTTATGATTAGCCAAGAAAAAATCTGAAGAGCGCAATCAGCAACTTAGTTTACTGAATTTCTGCTTAAACATTACCTACTACATGAGGATACCCAATAATTGGATATACGAAGATCCTAACTATAGTAATATTTACAACAGTAACACATGTTTGCCACTGATAACTGGAGTAACTCACCACAGCGTTGGAGCTAGTGGCTGTGAATTGTTTAGCGAAGACATTTGCATCGCCAATGTCCTCGTCGACGTCAGAGGACGAAGCGGCCACGTCAGCTTCGTCGGCGTCGTCGGAGGAGCTGACACGGAGACCGATGTGAGGGTCGCTCAGGAAGGCGGGCGAGAGGATGACGTGGGGCAGAGGGCGGTTCGCGTAGGGCTGCGCCAGTGTGTACAGCGCCGTAGGGCTAAAACAAGGATAAATATCGTCCTATGAGACAGCCGTTAAATCAAGGTCAATAATTACACCATAGATTATAGTCATAGTCCACTTAATTACTGTGATACAGTGTTCTAGATAAAACATTTATGAAGTTAAAAGATAGAACAACCATATTTGAACAAGGTACGAGCTTTAGAGAATATACTATCTATCACAAAACAGACCATTTGTTAAACGTAATTGACACACTGTAGTATGTAGTTTAATTTATTATCTTAGAGTGTTTCCTCAGATCTAAATGGACATCTCAAGAATTTTATACCTGACAGGAGGTCCAGCATCGTCTTCATCCGAGTCCAGCAGGAGGTGAGCCTCGTACTGCCCATCGACGGCTGAGAGGCCCATTAGCAGGGCCTCTCTGCACAAGGCTCCTCTGTTGGGTTTTGGCGCTGTCTGCAATCATATAAAATAAATCAAAATATTTATGTCATGATTAATAGATGACTTCTTCATGTTAGTTGAGCCATTACAGACTTTATTGAGTGGAATGCATTAATTTAAGAGATGAATCATTGTAATACCAAGTAATATGGAAGACAAAGCTAGGTATTTGAAGTGCATAAAACATTCCTACACACAAAATTTATATACAATTGGTTCAACAAGGACTAAAATTCCAGTAATTGCATTGATACTGACCTCATCCTTGATACGAGGCACAACTGCACTTCTCGTTTCATCCTCCCGATATGTTCTGTTTTCAATGAACTGGGAGTGTGAGAGCAACGTGAAGCTGGTGTTGGTGTTGGCTACTTGCGTGCTTAGTCTGTGGACATTTTGGTCCAGCTTCTGCAGTTGCTTGTTCACAGCATCAGTTCTGTCTATTACCATCTGTGGTTTGGTCAACGCTCATGAGTCTTTGATGTAATGAGCAGACAATGACAAAATTTAAATGTAACTCATAGCTTAAAAATTGCAAAAAGTGTCAATTATTAGGAGAGGCCTGTCAAGAATTTATGTGTGAACAATTCAAGTGTGTAATGCGATACCTGGAACTCTTTAATAACAAGCGAATCACAAGAGAGAATATTAAGGAATATATCATGAATATAATCTTCCATAAATAATACACACTAGATAGTACCTAGTACAATGCATAAGTACCTGAGAAATATTGTGAATAAGAGTTGCTGTGGCCGCATCTCCAGCAAGACTCCAAGTCTCTGAAAGCTCATTAAGCTTACTGGGATCTCTCAGAGTCTCCCACCACTTCTCATGTCCTCCTTCAGCCTGAGGAACAAAAACCTTTTCAAATACTAACTGAGATTATGACAACATTTTTATCATCAAGTCACAAATGCATACATTTAACAGTCATAAATTTATTAAAATTATGTGATGCAAATGATAGTCAGAAGGTTACTTCAAAACACAATTTCACAATCTTAGTATATAGCTTGAAAAACAAAAGAAATTTTGAATTGTTTTATTAAAATAACAATTATCTCTCAACTAGACACATTTCCATAAGAAAAATAACTGAAATATCCTCAATAGCTCTTTGAGGTATTTTAGTCTATGAATCATTGGTAAAATAAATTCTCAGTGATTTCTCCACACCTAAACTCGTCATCAAAACTCAAGGGACATGAATTAAAAATTATACTAGGTGATCTCATTTAGATGTCATCGCCACAGCCCTCCAAAATGAACTATTTTGAACCACTGTTAATAGCATTAATTTTATTAATTGATATTGGTATTATGAGCACTCATGTCTCTTGTATTTATTCTAATTAAATCAGGGTCAGATTGCATCTTTAAGTGCTGTTCAAAATTATTATATTGTATGTATCAGAAAAATGGTAACCTGATATTTTGATGGACATTTTAAATGATTTCAAATATTCATATAAAACCAATGAAAATTGGAACAATTTTTAATGAAATTGCTTTCTAAATAGTTTCAATGTGGAAGTTTTCCCATAAAAGCAATGTTGTTACTTCAAGAATTTTTAAGCATTTTGGGCACAAATTTATTTATTAGCTTGTACATAATTTTTTAGTATACTATTTTATTTTTTATATTTTTAATCTTTTTAACATTTTTACTATTTGATTAGTGAATTTTTTATTCAAATGAGATGTGATCCTTTGATTTGTTCATGTTTGAATTTGAACCATTTTCTGTGACCAGACTGACATAGCCTACCTATGTTCCTTGTGTCACCATACTTGCAGCATGTTGTAGAGCATTCAAAAAAGTTTTAGACTAGCAGACTGCTCCCTTTTGGCTAATTTTTTTTAGTATTGGTGAATAGCCAATTAAAAGAGTGAGGTTTACATCAAACAGCCTTGAACATCCATATGACCTCTAATCGTAGTGACAAGCCAGGGATGTTTTAAGATCAGTTCATTTACTCAAGATTTAAACTAATATGTTATGTATGATAATTCTGGTATCCATGATACTTTACTGGTCTACTTCTTATATGACTCAAAAATGAACTTGAGGAAGAGTCTAAAAAATTTTCTGCTATGCCACCAATACATATGGGCATAGTATATTTCCACTGGAGTTTACTTGCCATGTTGGAAGCCCCAGGATTCCTGGTAGATGAACTATCTCTTTTATAATTAATAAGAAAAGTGTATGAACAAGCAGTAAGACCCTAGATCTATTTGAAATATATGACTTTAAAGTTTTTAGTAATGAGCAGAAATTTTTCAATATTGATTGCAATTTGCACATATGACAGGTATGTACATAATGGGAGAGACCACTTTTGCATGCAGTCAGGCATCTGTGTTTGAAATTGATACAATGCTTGGTGCACAAGTCTGAACTAATTTTAACAAATGGCATGCAGAATGAAAGATTTCCATTGAAAAGATTTGATCAAAAGGCCAGTCTAATCAAGAAAAGTACAAGATTCAGCAACAGGCCTATCCAGGCCTATTCTTCAATGCCAAAGATACTATACTATACTATTAGAATTTTCCTACTCATTAATAAAGTTTTGTAAATCTAAAGTGGTAAATTTTCAATACATTTGGCATCTCATGGCACAATTATGCATTTTTGTTAATAAAAAGTTATGAGTAATTTATCTAGCTAGCATCATGCAGATCCAATCCAACCAAATTTAGAATATTGGGCAAAAGTTTCTTAAAATTGCAGGTAACACCAAATTTTACAGGTAATATGCATTCAAAAAGTACTTTTGAGAGACTACACTCCTAAAGAGGCCAGTGTCTCAGATATTACACATGTGCAACGAATTTCCTTTTTTAATATTTAAAATAAGTTACATTTTTTAAATTATTTTTTTATACATTTGAGAAAAATTTGTAATTTTTTTCTATAATGTCAATTGGTTCATGCATAGTTTTGGTCTTTACGCATATGTGCAAAATTTCAGATTGCTTGGACAGGTGGAAGCATGTTAAGTATCGATTATAAGATTTGTAGCAGACAGACAAGAAAGCAAGTTAAAGAGAAGTTCAGACAGACTAGAAAGCAAGTTAAAGAGAAGTTTAGTAAAATAGAGATATTTCTTATTTTTGTCTGAAGAAATTGGGAGGTCATAGGAAGGGGTAAAATTGGCCAGATTCATAGGCTACATATCTATAACAATGTCATAAAAGCTCTAGTTGAAGCCTAAAAAATAAATATATTCAATGCCTCATGGCACTCATGGCATGAATTGATAAAAAAAGAAAGCAATTTAAATTTCTAACCTGGCATTTCTTCCTAATCCTTAGGCTATAATAACTGGCTATTCCTTAGTATGCTCTTTGTATTTTTGGCTCTATATTATTTTTCATAGAAAGCAAAACCAGTGCTAAGCACATACCTTATACCTACTGAAAATGGCTATATGACAATTTCCTAAAAAATTTACTTAGTGAGTCACTCAAAGTAATGTCTTACTATTAACTTTCACTTATGTTAACAACAATATTAAAACATTAACACCTAAGTTGCCAAAGTACTTCAGTTTCTAGCCTCCAAGCAAAGTAATTTAGTTTAATCATTTCCAACAACTGTCATTAAATTTTGCGAGCTCAGAACTGCTTTCAATTTTAGTGCTATCATTGCTATGTCAAAAATCACAACTAGAGAGAGCACACTTCAGCTTTTAATATTGAATATTTTAATTTATTCTAATTTCTCAACCAACATCATTGGTTATTTTCTACTTCATTAATATATTTGAGGAAAACAACGACAACAACGTTTTACTAAATTTGCTCAATTCTCTTGAATTCTACTTATTTCACGAGTCAAATTATCTAAAATGAGAAACGACAAAAAAAATTAATTATGCTAAAAAATTATGGTGAATTGGAAAATAAATAATGAGCAGGCAGCAATAAAATATTTACCATTTGTTACCGTATACCGGTGAGAGTAATAATCCACAGGCATCTCCTAACTTCCCAATTGTGTTCATAGACACTGCCCACTACGCCTATCAGCTGGTGGTGTTTATCTCCGACAATAGAAGTTTCAAAAACATATACTCGCGGAACTTATACTTTATTGCAGATAAAATGTGTATGGTAAAGAAAATAATAGACGAATGTCATTTAAACATCGTCTAGAGTAAAGGTAATTTTCTAATAAAAAGTCATAGCTAAAGTTCATATTTAAATTTTATATAATGTGGTCATAGTTTTTAAGGGCTCTGTTGTCCATGATACAGAGTTGAATTATTATTTAGATATAACGAATTTCATTCCATAATTTTTTCTACGTTTTCGGGCATGCAATTAACACATCTTTCTGTGTGCCTACAGCCGTGCATTTCAATTAGCGCACTTCATCATTTCAAACAGAGCGCCTCAATTCGTACAGACCAATTGACTTTTCTTTTCATTTACGTGTACAGAGAACATGAGTCACTTCCACTAACCGGTAAGGCTGTGCATCATGATAAAGAAAAAGGATGAATAGATACTGAGAAATATTCACAGCCAGATCAACATATACTGCAACTCAGTAACGGCCAAGATCCTGAAGATGACGAATGGCGGCACTTGGGCTCTTCAAAGGGTATTATATCGACAAGAGAGAAGATAAAATCGCACGGGGATTTCTCCGGCATTTAGAAAAAAGTGTCGAAACGGTCCAGGAAAGTGACAAACCTGCCAATCTTGAGCGGTATTAACTTCACTGGTCATTGAAATGCGACGAGAGTAATTTTATAATTGGAGTAGAAAGTGATTGCTTGGCTGCTTGAATTCTACCACAATGGCACATGAGCCGCCACATAGCGTTTATTGCACGTAACATGCCACTCATAAACAAAAACCGTATAATACTGACCACAATTACGACATACGGGGTTTGGCCGGTTCGATTGCCACAATTGAATTGAATTGAATTGTCGGTGTAGTAGGCACTCAAGCCTGTTCACCCGCCTTGTTCGCCCTCAGCATAGCCGCCCCCATTAGGTTACACGCGTAGATGGTGCACCCCAGGTGACTGCAAACTGAAAGGCTAATGGTAGCACTCAGGATCGAAAAGGCCCGGTCGGTCCGCCCAGCAACTGTCAAGCCTGCTCTTGAAAGCGCTCACAGAGGGGGCAGTTACGACGCCGTCCGGAAGGCCGTTCCATACTGACACCACCCTCTGGGAGAAGAAGCTTGATCTCACATAGGGGGGGGGGGAAAGCTCTGGCGACTTAAGTGGCATTGGCGCTACATAAATTCGTGCTTTTCTATCCTCAATGAGGCTGAGCCTTACTTCCACCATCATTCTGGCGTTGTATGCTTGGGAACAGCAAGATCGAAGCATCCAGTTTCAGCTTCCAGGACCCGTTGTGATTCCAGCGCAAATTGTAGGCAACATAAAAAGCTGGGAATTGATCAAATATATAATATGTCATCTCGTATAAAGGACTTACTAATTACAGCATTAGGATTTAGGCAAGAGCAGGTTCGCGCCTACACTACAGCTTCGTAGAAATTTCCTATCAAAAGCTTCTCGTGCCAGCAAGATGAAAGAAAGAGCATGTTCACAATTCTGACATGAGTTTGGATGAGTGACGAGGGAGCACTGTTTAGATTTTAACCCTTTGTTTATGTACACATTAACCAATACAATTGGTACCTGAATGCCAGCCCATCAGATTACCCTCAGATTACGATAGGTTAATTGCAGCGAATTCCGTATAGAAAAAAAAGAAGTGCTTACTTAATAAAAGCTCTGACAAGAGAAGTCTCGGTCGCGATTGCTAATTTCTTGAAATTTTAGTCAATAGAAATTGTAAGAAGCGCGGGTCGTTCCCATGGCGGAGCTGACCTCAGCAACAGAAGGGTCATTACTTATGTCAATTTTAAACTTCTCTTATCTTGTTGACTCGCAGGCACTCATGTACTTCAAATAAACAACAGGCTGCGCTCAATTATCGACTTCTTGTGCGATCCTTACATTTTCAAACGAGAAACCAACTACACTCGGAAATAGCAAGCATGAGTAAGTATCGTCAGTTCAGCAATAGTCAAGCTAATCCGATCTCTCGAGGCTGCGATTTGGACAGGAGTCACATCAAGAGTCGAGCAATAGAGTATCCGCCAATGAACAATACCAAGAGAACACATAAAGGAATAGGTACTTGTAACAGTCGTTGTAACAGGACATTTGCGGTATGTCCTGTAACAGGTGCTGTTCTCCGATGCCATGCACGGCACGCGTTAACAAAGTCATGATTTAAAATTATGTGACGCAGTATGTCAATGTAGGCATCAATTATGAAATTTACCTGGCAACATAAATGATAGTAATAATAGAATTAATTGATAGTAGAAAATTCGGAAGAGAAGAATTAATTTGGTTACAATTTCAGTACAGAGAAAAACGCAATAAAGCAACACATCAAGAAGCATTATAAAGAAATGAAGCTACTAATTTCATAGAACAAAACAGAGAGTTAATTGAATGAGAACATCCCAAACGAGGTAATTGACTAGAAAATTCAAGTACTTCTTCAATTATTCAATGATAAATTCAAGAGGAAAATTAGCGATCCTGCTTAGCAGTGGAGCCCTGCACACGGCGCAGAGTTGCAGCGAACCTTGTCCCCATTTCACCGTCGAGCTCCTCATAAATTAGCAATGATTAAAATGACGTTTGATTCAATCAACAAGCAGCAGGTTAACGTCATGCATATCATAACCTCAGGCAGATAATGTTGAGGAGTGGCGAAAAGCAACAACGTACTTTCCAAGTGATCAACAGGATATAAAGTTCCTTTCACGTGTAGCCCCCAAAACCCTTTCCACTTGCAGGGATCAACACAGCATGACAGACGCAGTTCTCAAACTACGTCAGCAGACAAAAATCTTAACATATAATATGATACACTATCGCACTTCCATCAGGACACATACATGAGAAAATGTGTACAAGATGCTATTTATTATAGTCCACACGGTTATTATCAAGCGATGATAAATTCTTTAGCCAACTTATTAACCTTTATTTTGAAACCTACACCAACGCCAGTCGCCATGAAATCATATTAGGCTCGGTGGTCGCTGTGACAAGTGTTTTCAAGTATTTATTTTCTAAATAATAATTAGTCTATGACTTTCTAGAGGTTCACGTGCGATAATCATCGGCTAATAATTAAAAATTCGGAACATTAGTACTCGTAGCGATGACATTTTCCAACACAAGCAATTGAAGAAACAAAACCACAACAATATTAACGTCTATCAAAGAGAATAGCGCGTTATCGTGCTCGGTTCTTCCATAAACCAATGAGTAGGAGGAACTAATCTAATTGAATGCAACACTATGACGTGTTCCAGTACTCGTTCGCATTGAACCCGCAATGGAACTTCAACTCGGTGCATAAAATATAGTTATTGATCAGAAGATGATTCTCTTGTCAACGAGAACAGCCTCTACCAGTTTCGGATCTGACTGTCTACTTACAACATCAATAAAGCTCTTAATTTAAATCCGCATTATTTTCTGCAGAAGAAGACTATATTACCATCCATAATTGCTGCATAAGATCGTCTAACCATAAAATTATTGGCTTCAACACAGTGCTAATCTGGAGTAAAAAATTTTATTTAATACAGAAGAGTTCAGGCGACGTTCGATGCCATGAACGCCTCGCCCTCGACACACACAGCAGAGTCATCGGTTGAAAGGTCAGTCGACCCCCGTGAACTCAGAATAAGCAAATTTTTCTGAGAATGCTACCTCATAATAACTTGAGAATTTATTCCCTCTTAATTGACTGAAGTTTTAAAAGTTAGCTTGAAGCTGGCACAGCCAATTTATTTAATATTTATTGAGAAATGTGTTAGAGGGTTTTAGTTGGAGGAGGGCTTTAAGAAAGGGGTTGTATGACAGGGGTTATGAGAGTGGCGTTTATTAGAGGGACTATTAGAGAGGGGTTATTGGTCACGGGTTCCTTCATTATGACCAGATCTGTCCGTTGAGGAAGACGTGCCAGTTGATGAAGTAGAAGTTGCTGAGGTGTTTGACGATGAGGCGGCATCATGAAGAGGATTGTCTTTTATGATCCTCTTGCTTTGAATGACGTGGTATTGTTGCTTGTAGTACACTTTAAACAAGCCTTTGATGGTCAGGAACGCCAGCCCGCCCTGCACAGTCAGGATAAAAGTCTAAAAAAATCTTACAAATTTGTTGAAATTGCTTTTCTTTCCAAAAACATCAGTCAAATAGTATTCAAATTTGAAAGATTGTCTATCCCGAGCGACACCTGCTCGTTGGCGGTAACTGCGGTGCGAGACTCACCAGCAACGTCTGGTTGAGGGTCGTGGAGCACGTGGGGAAGAAGGCTCTGCCGGCGAGGGTCGCGAGGGTGGGGAGTGACAGGCCCCCACAGAGGACACGCGTCGCGTTGATGGGGTCGCTGATGACAGCAGTTGTGCTCGTCGCGCCCTGTGGGCCTCCATCGCCATTGCTACTACACACCAGACACAAATAATAATATATTCAGCGTGAATTAGATATCAAGCTAAACAAAATTTCCAGGCTCTAAAACAAAATCCAGACTAATTAAGAGCAAAGCAGGGCCTCTAATAGCCAAAATAAAGCATCAAAATAGAAAAATTGCACGCTATGGCAACAACATTCTGACTAACCGGAAGCCGGGCAGGACGTATCTGAGGAAGGGAAGTTTGCGCACAGACGCTCGCAGGAGGCGAAGGACCTTATCCTCCCACCGCACCATCTTGCCAAGGATAAGGAACACAGGGATGGTGGGTAGGCCAACGAGCAGCACCAACGGGTCAGCTGACTCCATCAACGCCATGCCCTCCTGATAGCCCAGCACCTGCAGTAAGACAATACATAAGTATCCTTAATCAGTATGCGTTTCGGACGTAGCGTTTCTCAATAACGCTGAAGCCCTACCTCAGTATTCCATTGTCCAATACATTCTCAGGAAGCAGCTTTCAGTAAAATGGTACAGCAGTCTCCATCTTGAATCAAGTAAGCAGACTCAATCGAACCCATACCTTTTATGTAGCTAAGTACACGAAGCAATTCACAATTTATTATTAAACAAAAGAGTTCTTTTGACTGCATGGCAGACCTCATTCCTGCAGTACAATTCATGAATGATGTCTGGCAACATACACATGCAGTTAACCGCAAACAATCGGTGATTTCTAACCATCATGATATGACCGTTGCAACTCATTTTCAGGTTTTTAACTACCTTCAGCTATGAATAGATTTATATCCATGTTAAAAATTCTGCCAGAACAGTTGTTTGGGACAGCTTCATGTTGTTCCATGCATCCGCCATGAATGAAACAGATATCAGCGTAGGACTGAGACAGTTACACATGTACCTGCATGACGGTGATGGTGCTACACGTGTACCTGCATGACGGTGATGGCGCTACACATGTACCTGCATGACGGTGATGGTGCTAAACACGTGTACCTGCATGACGGTGATGGCGCTACACGTGTACCTGCATGACGGTGATGGCACCGTACGTGACTGCCACCCAGTAGCAGGACCCGACCACGACTCCAGCAGCCACAAAAGGACACACGCGGTAGATGAAGGCGTCCATTCGGTCCAAGAACAGCATCAACTGACCTGCACAAATGGCTGATGTTAGTAATATTGAATTATTTAGAGCTTCTATAAATAAAAAAGGGGATATAAAGACTTTTAGATGTTGTGATTCAAACAAAATTTGTCACAAACTTGTAAAAATGAAATATATAAAAGTGAAAAGTTTTAAATTATTGAGTGAAACATTGTTTCAGGTACCGCAGTAAGCACAGATTACGAATATTAGCAGGAAAGATGGGATTGACTGCACAGTTGACTTCCATTAAGCTAACGGTTGCAAGTTTCAAAGATAAGAGATGAAGTTTGCTCACCCATATTTGGGAAGTGTATGATGTACTGAAAGCCACACTGAGGGCAGTTTACTTTCACAGTTGAGTTGCCTTTCTGTTTCTCATCAACCCAGCGTTGAAGGCAGGATTGATGAACCTAAGAGGGAGATTATACAGGGGTTAGACAAATAAGGGAAACACTTGAGAAATCCACAAAATATATTTCAGTATGGTGTAGGTCCATCATTTGCGGGAATTACAGCCTCAATTTTCCAAGGTATTGATTCATACAAATTGTACATTGTTTCCAAACAAAATTTAACCCATTCTTCAGGTAGAACTCCCTCAATCTCCTTTAAAGACCATGGTGGAGGGAATCAACTTCCGACTAGCCTCTCTAAAATTGAATATAAATGCTGGATACCATGGATAATATTCAGGTCTGGTGATTGTGGTGATCTGTATGAATTCCAGCTATATGGATCAAGGCATTATCATCTTGAAAGATTGCGTTCTTCTCTGGAAACATTGCTTGAACCATTGTATGAACTTGCTCTTCCAAAATTCCTGAATAGTCACGGCTGTTGATTCTTCCATGAGGAGAAATCATTGGTGTACCAAATTTTCAAGAAATAACACCCCAGATCATCATGGATCCCCCGCCATGTTTTACGGTTGACAGGAAGCAGTTGGGATTAAATGACTCTTTTAGCTATCTTTAAATGTAAACTTGGCCAGAAGTTGGAAATAAGGTAAAAGATGAATCATCAGAGAAAATCACATTTTTCCACTGCTTGAGGGACTAATTCTGGAAGTTTTTAAAAACGCTCTGAAGCATTTGTTTTTGCAACCAGAGATTTTCTAACTGCAGCTATTCCATAGAATCCAGACACGTACAGCTTTCAGCAGACAGTCCTCATGGAAACTGGGTTCTGTAGGTGTCCATTGAGGTCTGCAGTAATTTCAACAGCCATGGTATTTCAATTGTCCCTAACAATTCGATTTAGGTACTGATGGTCTCTCTCAGACAACTTCATCTTTGGGCCAGTCTTGTAATTTGCTGAGGACGTTTTCCCCTCTCTTTCAAAAGCAGTCATAACTTTTGAGGCAGTACCTCTAGAAACATAAAGCATTTGGGAAATTTCTGTCACACTAACACCTGCCATATGGGCACTAACAATTTGGCCTCTTTGAAGGTCAGAGCTGTTTGCTGTTCAATGATTTTAAGTTAGGTTATAGATACAAAAAATGTACTAAAAATATCTGTGCAATGATAAAATATCAATCAGCTGCATTAATAAAACATAAAAATATGTCATATTTTCATTGTTAATAATATTCTAAAAAAATTACGATAGCAAAATGTCAGGCGTTTCCTTTATTTTGTCCAACAGACTGCATGTTTAGAAGTAGACAGGAATCACCTTATTAACATTTTTGTATTGCAGGTAACAAAGTTAAGGCTTTCAAGGCTTGACAAATAAAGAGGGTAACTTTTTCAGGGGCCATTTTTTTTTTGTTCTGATAATAAATATAAAAACATTTCAGTAATTATTCTCGAAGTCCTGATAAAAGAACTATGAATGAACTTACCCATTTGGTGGTGCCTCTGCAGAGACACGGCTTGACCCATGGCGCAGTCACGTCATCTTCATCACTGGCATAACAAACCCAGCAGTAGCGCCGACTGATAAAAGCAAGAACAATTATTGACCTTAATGCAGGCTAACATAGGTATTATTTCAGAGTAAAATTATTCATACTACCACTCAAATTCAGATTATATCTAAATAGGAAAAGTTATTCAAAATTTTGGATATTGATGGTGCAAATTGCATTTAAAAGTTTGAAAATAATCATCATGGGGCCTAAATATTGGATATAATGTATAACCGATATTATGTATAAAAATGCAGGGAAACGCCTAATATTATATGTATACATAAGGAAATATTACTAAGCTACTGATGTATATAAGTGAAAGATATATGGCAACTTCCATGATTTAAAGAAATGAAGAGGATATTTTGGTGTCAGGGCTACAGGTTTTTATATGCTCTCATTTTTATTTCCTATCATGGACCTGCCAAAGAATTTCCCAACATGTTTTCTTTGGTACAATAGGTAAAAAATTGGCAAGCAGCATCAGCATAATACCATAACTTCACACACACCAGGGGACTTGAGGAGCCATTTTGAGTGGTGTTTCAAATCCCTATCCAGTATCAGCAGGCCTTGAATGGGTTCTAGTTCTCAGAACAAACTGACAGTTCCAAGTTATTCATCTAGTCCATATCAGTAGCACCTCTGACATAAATGGAATGCCTAATAGTTGTTAATAATTATGTAAATTCTACAGGTCAGAATATGAAATACCATAAATAAATGAAAGGAAAGCTGAACTCACTCACCTATCATCTGCTGCCGTTTGTGCCGCTGTATCAGGGTTTGTTGATTCATTCATGTCTAGCCAGTGCTAGTGTATCCAAAATTATTGTACATTTGCAATATGCATTTAATGAATCTGTCTTTAGTAAGAATTGATAATAATGGTAAAAAAAATATTTTTCAATTTATGAAATCCTGATAATTTTATTTTATAATTACATTGGATTATGTTTTACCAAATCTTCTATAATGCTTGTGGAATTTTGAGCCTAAAAATGTATTCTTTGAGACAATGACTAAATCATCTTAGTGTAGCCTCTATCCCTTGACTGATCTCCATGAACCTTCATAAGAATGAAGCAAATGGACATCTTTTCACAAGGGATTTTAAAACAATTTTGCTTGATATTGCCTTATAGCTTAGAAATGAGACAATTATATACCATGTTTTTATCATTCTGTGGCAATTCAACAGAAGGCAGTAATTACTCCTGGTAGTTAAATATACACATGACCTTCTCTTTGCTGGAACTCAAACATGCTAACAAATAACTACATACCTAAAAAATTATTTTATATTACCACGTTTTTCTTAGCTCGCTTTCATGTCCCTCTGTCTGTGATGATCAAATCTTGCAATCGATATTTCACCAACTTTCCCGCTAGCTAGCGCTCTGAAACTTTTAGGGAAGCTCAGCTACCGGTAACAATACAATAATCAATGATTTGTTGCACGTTTCCAGGCATATTTTTACCGAACCTTTCTTTTTACAGCCACGCACCCAGATAAATACGGGAACAACAATGTATCCCTTCGAATACTATTTTCTTCAGAACTTTGAAAAGAATTTTCTTCTGTGCATTTGCGTGGCCAACTGAAATGAAATGAATATTATGTAGGATGGTAAAAGGAACTCTAAAGGAACTCACAAGCAGGGGTTGGGAACCTTTAATGCACGTCATCCTCGAGAGGATATTCGTCTTTAGACTGCGTACATCGATGATACGTTTCGTATCATCGATACGTACGTCGAGTCAAGTAATTTGGCTCGCAACAACGTTTTTCATGTGTAGCAATGGACTAAAAAGGAGAAAATAAAATACTTAAAAAACTAAAAAGTAGAAAATAAAATGTATAAAAAAAATTTCAAAGACCACGTTTTTCATGTGGACTCAGAAGTAGAAAATAATTTTTCGGCAGCTACTGATCTCTGTTTGCTTTCATTCTCTTGGTCTTTTGTATTTCAGTTAAAATATTTTACAACATCTAAAACAAAAAACGTGTGGCGCATCTTCATTTAGGCATGCCTTAATTTCAATTTTGAATTCAACCACTATTTCGAATTAAAGCAAACAGAGATCAGTAGCTGCCCAAAAATTATTTTCTACTTTTGAGTCCACATGAAAAACGTGGTCTTTAAAAATTTTTTTATACATTTTATTAATGCCACATATGTTGCAAGAGGCTAAGATTCAGGCTCAAAAAAGGACTTTAGACATAAAATATTCATGACTGTCAAATTTATTCACTTACGCTTATACCAATTACCATCAATGAAGCACAAGTTACTGCTCAGTAGATATAGGTAGTACCTACTATCAAATGGGGTAATAAGGGATGGTTTTGAGCGTTTTTGTTAATAACTTCTAACATAAAACATTTCATAAATGAGCTTGAGCTCATTTTATAGCTCTTTGCGAGGGCTATCATATGGCATGTTCAAAAAAATTTAATTTGATATTTGTAAGGTGCCAGATGCAAAATAAAAGTGTCCCCAATTTCTCCTGGAAATGGGGTAATTCTGGACACTTGAAATAAAACTTAATTTTAAAATGTTTGAAGCAAGCAGAGTGTATTAATCTATTACTAACAGTAATCTGAGTCCTCCTTTTCCTTAGTAGATGTAGAATAAATGACATTTTCTGTAATTTCTACTTGTTTTTCCTTTATTATGATATTACAATATCCATACATTACCATAATATTGATATGATATTACCATATCCATGGACATGCAATTGAGCATTTACAGCAATCCCTTGATTAGCACGGTTTTGAATACCGCGGAAAAAAAATTTGCGACCTACCCTTGATCTACGCGGTGCCAGTTTTGATTAGCGCGACGTTTTTTTCACAATGCATCATTTTCCCGCCTCTAACCAGAGGTGTTATGTTCGTGCTTATTAGATCTTATGTTGTGCTTCTGTTACGACTTTTGGAAAAATTCGCCAAATGTTGTTACTTTATGAATTTCATATTTTTGAGGATTCATTATAATTATTCCCATATATTTTTAAGTTTGATTAGCGCGGTTTTGCTTAACACGGTAAAACTCGGGGATTTATTAACCGCGTTAATCAAGGGATTGCTGTACAATGAATTTGTCCACTGCAAGCTTCATATCAGCAGCCATCATGAGCCTTGTAGCACTTACCTGTATCTGTAAACTTACAGGACAGTTTGTAATTTCAAACCATTTTAATTGGGTCAAGTGAAATCACAATAACAAAATAATATAAATAACTCGGTACTCACTGCAGTGCAGTGAGTGAAAGAGCGCGCATTTTCTTGTTGACAAAAAAATGAAGCCATGGACAGACAGATGGACATGACAAGCACAATGAATAATGCCTTTTTTTCTATAAATGAGAAAATGCACTAAAAAGATTGTAAAAAAACATACCTGAAACAGAAAGGAATATTCTAGTGACAACCAATATATCAACCATCATATTTTTTGGAGAAATAAATCATAGCTTAGGTTAATTACATTTCATATTATGTTGCCCAGTGCACAAATCTATCTATGACATTCTCTGCACAATTTTGTGATGACTGATGATGCATTAATTTTTGTGCCACTATTTTTAGTTTTGCAATATTTCAATTTCTACCATACCTAGTTATGCTGCTGGCGCCTGGCTATAACATTTTTATGCTGAGGGGGAGAAATGTCCTGATTTACCCTGCCCAATGACAATGAGTGCCCATCCCTTACAGGCCTTACTGCCTTGTCAGCCTGTCAGGCTTTTGTCAGTAGCAGTTGAAGTTGTGACTTGTGACAGTAGAAAGAGCTGCTAGAGCAGTCTTTATTTTTTAGCCTGTTATTTCATATTTATTCAATGAAAAAAATCATAGCTTTTTTACCTTCATTTGTAGGTTCCACTTATATTTGTTAGATATTTTTCTAAATTTTTTCTCTTTTCTGCTATATAATTTTCATTAGGATCAGAGAAATATTTTTACACATACCTACTTACTGAGCAGTGAATACCTTAGTGTATTGACACTTTACAGAAAATCACAGAATGACAGTATTGGCCAGTCTGCCAGTGCCAGATGCAGACGGTTCCAACTTCCTACGATCCCGTAAATATGGCTAAATCTAAAGGTGCTTATACACTGGGCTATTAAATCTATTTGTTGTGTATATTGGTTGTGTCTACTGTCTACTACAGACTACAGTTTTGCAGGTTGCGAGCCTATACACGAGTATTGTATCGTTTTGGTACACTGCGCCCGCGTCAGTGCGACGTTGGGAGTTGTCGAGTTAGGGTGTGCATGGTGGAGTCATGCGAGAGCACGACAGCAGTGCGGTGAGTGCGCACTACAGTGGGTGAGAGAGAGAGCAACGCAGCTGTGCTCGGTATGACGGCCGGGCTGCGGGAGGCTACTGAGCGCAATAGACTGCTTCAAAACAACTCTAGTTTAAGACTAGTTGCCTTGCCTGCAATGAACCAGCTAGTTGCCTCTGAACATGTCAAGCATCACAAAATTCACAAATTTTAGTAGCCTGGCAGGGTCTGCAGGGACCAGGCAGTAAGCCTGGCCTAGTAGACGCAACCAATATACGCAACTAATCGCCCTGTGTATAAGCACCTTTAACCTAGCCTATGCTCACAAAAAAGACAAAATCAGCTACAATTCAATTTTAAGGTCTGAGTGAATTTTAAATTTGCAATAGAAAAATAAAATTTTGGGGGGTTTTATACATTGGCAAACACAAATAAAAAAATGTTTAGTTTAAGGACTTCAGCCTTTAGGCCCTTGCATATTTCAATCAGCTACCGTAGTACTCAGTCAAGTGTGGAAAACATCTACCTATATGGCCGCGCCACTGTGCAGAGAGTGAACAAAGATTTAAAGACCTACGGCGACGCATTATTGGCAAAATTTTCGCCTTCACAAGATCTTGCCGACACATTTAGATTAAAATTCTTGCATTTAATATATTTCTCAGTCTTCAGCCAACTATTTAGAAAAAAAAGTAAGGTTTCCGGTACGTTGGATGGATTACGATGCAGCGAAGCTTGTCCGGAAATCAGTTGCAATGAGTTCCCGCAAAAAATGTAAACAACTTTTTTTTGATTGCCTAGTTTTGATTGCATTAGAGCGGTCAGACTGCTTTATTACTTGTTCAGTTGACACTTGCTGTACAACCGGACTGTTTTTAGGGTAAAATTAGTTATTTGGGGTAACACGTGCATGCAATCTTGTAATAAGTTCGTGGCTTGTAAATAGTTCATCATTACTCAGCGTAAATGGCTTTTCATTAAAAATTACCCGGCGACGCATCTTTAAAATGGCCGGCGACGCTTTGGGCTTAAAAATCCATATATTGCCGACGCTGCATCCACCCTCTGCTGCTCTGCATAGTGGGGGCCGCGACTAGAGGTTTCCCGTCATATCTGGAACCGTGAGATTTCTGCCAGATGACTTGCCTTCGATCTAATTGTTAACAAAAGTGCATTATCAGGCCACAAGATACCAATTGTATTAAAAATTTGTCATGTTGGAGCCGCAAGATTTCAGAAACAAGTAGGAAAATGTCAATCCTGGTAGTACTAACACAATTGAAAAAAGGCCCAAATCATTTCGTTTTGATGCAAAAATGTGGTGGTGGCACCGTGGCGGATTGAAAGAGAAGTCACATGTTGACTGCTCACTGCTGTCTGCTTGTAACACATGGTCTCATAACTCATTAACATTTAGTTATAGTTATTCTTATTCAGTTCAAGTTTTCATCATGTTTCCTTCAGTTTCATTCTTCGATCCACATGATTGCAGGAAGCCAGGAATGTCTATTTGAAACTTGAAAGGCCTCTGGCCTGAAAACTATTACTGAGTAGGTACTGATTAAATCTAAATCCTGGACCAGCACAAATCGAGTCTGTACGTCGTTTTTATACTCTTTATTCTAGCCATTAAAAATGCTTGGCAATGTTTGAAAGTACCTGCCCAGGTCTGGAACAGTGGAACAACTAAAGTGAACTAAACACCGTCTAATAAGGTCTTCTTTCAGTTTCAAATTACTCGTTTCTCTCTTCATTTTGTTGGAGTAACCATCATAGCAAACATTATACTTTAATTCATATTTTTGGAATATTTCATGGAATAATTTAA